AGTATTATTAAAAATATAACCCCAAAAACCTCTCAACTCTCCTTTAATAAAATTAATACATGACCCATAGGCTTCAAATACATTTAGAGTTTTAATCGAAATCTAATACACGATTTGAAAACGATCATAACGCAACTAACTGAATCCAATTAGATTAATAGAATACGAGTTAATTAATTGAATTAAATTTGAGAAAACTAATTCAATTTCAATTATTACACTCGTATTTATAAAATACTTAATTCGCTCAGCTAAGAATCGAATCGGCGCGTTATGTATCCATAAAATATATTTATTATATTGACCGATTATTTTGAAAGTGGTGTAAGTCCATTTTTGAGAAAAATGAGCGATCACGTAATTCATGCTTAATTTAATGTAATTTTTTTATATATAACTAGTCCGTGTTTAATAATCTCAAAAAAATCCCATGTTTTGTACAACTTAAAATCGGTCGGTAAATGAAATTGCATAATCATCGATTATGAAAGTGGTGTAAGTCCAATTGACAGAGGTAGGTGGCATAGCCACACCTCATACGATTTGCCTATATTTTTAAATCAACAAATATAGCAACCTTTAATTTTCTCGAAACAAAAGAAAATGGACTTACACCACTTTCAAAATAAACGGTCCATATATTGAGAGATGAAAGGGTGTTTAATTTAGGCGACATTTATCTTTGTAATTAAAGGTGCATTTTATTTAGTATCATCATCAACAGTTCGATGTTTTTAATTGAACTTCAATTAAATTTACTCCATTCAAATATCTGAAGGAGTTTTTTTTGTCATGATATTTTTTTTCCAATTTTACAATTTAAACAGCTCTCCAGTAAAGTTTCAAAAATGTCGCTTAAAAAAAAATAGCCTTTCACCCCATCGATACGATAAATTCATCATAATGCATTATTATTTTTTGTAAACAATTATGTAACTAATTTTTTTTCGCACAACAAAATTTCATAAATACCCAGTAACTGCTAGCAAGCATTTAATATAATTAATCTATTCCTGTATAGGTTTTTTTATCAAAACGCTAGTATAATTTTGTAGAGTCGTTGATGTTTAAATTAAAATATTTTTTACGGTTTCATTAAAACTATTTTTACGGTTTATTTGAAAATTACTTTGCGGGTTTAATGACGCATTTTTTACGCTCACTGTATTATTTCTGACGCTTCGAATTACTGTTCACGTGGTCACGGAAGACCGAGGCATGCATTATTCTAATTTGGAGTACATTAGAATAATGCATTGACTTTCTTTATTGTTATTTTTGTAAAATCTAATTTAATCCGTAAAAGTGGCTTTAACTATATTTAATTTTATGACTCACGGAAACCGAAAAAAAAAAGTAATATACTTCGCACCTTTAGAATTGAAGGGCCTTAACTAAAAAATTTAATAAAACGAGCTTTACACTTCGAATTACTGATAAAACATTTATTCTATCAGTTTATAAAATTAAACAGTCTCTTTTAGTCCAGAAAAAGACAAAGTACTCTTTCTGCCTCTTTTAAATCAACCGCATACCTTAAAATATTAAAATCTAAAAACGAAGACATTTCAAATCTTCAAAGTTCTGGAGTTTAACAAAAATAAGAATTTTGGATTGTCGCTTTTTTTTCTTTTTTTTTTATTGCATTTATGGGTGGACGAGCTTCATAGCGCACCTGGTATTAAGTGGTTATCGGAGCCCATAGACATCTACAACGTAAATGCCGCCACCCACCTTGAGTTATGAGTTCTAAGGTCTCAGTATAGTTACAACGGCTGCGCCACCCTTCAAACCTAGTTTAAGGTCTGTAAAGGGCTCTCCGGGCAACGACCCGCGACTTATTTCATGCGGCCACCAACGCATGTTTTAATCAGAAAATAGTTTGAGTAATAGAATTCTTTGTCAAAGCATATAATCATTAATTAGTATAATTTATCTTTGTTCTTATAACATTCCATTCCCAATTCTAAAGGTGCGAATTACTGTGTGTGTGTATATCTGCACTTATTAGGTGTATAGGACTAGTTTTGAGCCAAACAACGCTTTTAGTACGCGCTATATTCTTTCTCAACGATACGGCATTTCGACCTCACGTCACGATGAGGTCACGCGTTGCTACCCATGGGCACCGGTAACCGCTCAACGATCAGCTGTCACCTCATCTATACGTGTGCATCAATATCAAAAATTTCAATTCACTTTAAAGTAATATCAGAATCTATAGTACAAATATTATATCTCACACACGTTCGCTTACAGCGAAGAAGCTTCAGTTAACTGAAGTTTACAAACGAGAAGCGATTTCTCTCATAAAAAGGAACCTATGAACATTTGTTTTACATTTAAATAATATATTAAAGAGGTCGTCAGCGCAAAAGTGGCCTAACCCACAATTTATCATATACATAATATATTTAAATTTCTTTAATACATAATAAATGCTAAACTGGCCTATACTTAGTATCACCCGTACATAATATATGGCTTTGTAAACATTATTTTCGCGCATTCACTGCAATCTGTGGTTCCGTCATTGCGGCAGTCGTTCAGGGATTCACGTTTTACGGCGTCAGAAACTTTACGGATCCGGATCGACAGTATGCGTCTGACATTACTTTTAACGCACGTGGAATGACGCAAGCGATGCATTTCATACATAGACCTATATAGTAGGGACACGACATATTGTTCTATACGTACAATTGCTTATATAAATAGCACCCATTTTGAAGGCACATACATAAACATATATCTGTCTCGTTCTTACTCAGCACTTTAACTCGCAGGAAAACAATATAACAGTATTTCAGTGCGTACATAAAATGAAACATGAATATACGTAAATATCTCCGTCTCCGTCTAATGAGGCCGAAAATCCGCCATGTTTAGCGCGCCAAATGTCATTGTCACGTCAGTTCGGCCGTCTGTTTTGGGTTGTACATTATTTATTGACTTTGATATCGATTTAATATGATTGATTATATAAAATTTCATAATTTATCATGCTTAAAACATACAAAAATAATAATTAAAACGTATTTTATAGGATCTCAAGAAAGTCGATGCCCTAAAACTATTATCTATATGTATTTAAATTCATTATGGAGCCCTCATCCGAAAAATCCATTTTTCGGTCGGAATCTATTGATCATGACACTAATCATAAATACCACTTTAAAATATGTCATCAAAACATATTTAGACATTCTGTTTAGATATTTCGGGAAAAAGGCTACCGACAAAATCTCTTCGGAACTATTTAAATAAAATAGTTTTATTCCGCAGTGAGTAAAACACTATTGTAAATTTGTTAAATATTTAATAATTAAGTGATTTTAGAGAGGAAGTCACAAGGAATGACGTTTGTAATTAATGAATAAATGTTCTGTAGGTGTTTTTTTTTTCACGCGGTCCCTTGATAAGTTTAAAATTTGAATCACTCTCAAGCGAAAGTGATTCAAATGGTGCGGCGCACCTTCCTTGGGGTGCGCTGCGGTAGTATGTTACGGACTTTAGAGTCAGCAAAACAATTAAAATAGATTGTTATAGTCTAAGAAAAACACGTACTCAAAAACGATAACATTTAGCATGCTAGAAATGGGCTGATGGCTTTGAACTACGCCATATCTTTATGTTTTGCGACAAACGACAACTTTATAAAATCAGTGTAGCAACTTTTAAAAATCATTATATCGTTTACTTGGCAAATTCGAAGGACGAACTTGTCTTAGATTTCACCCATCTAAATCATATCATATTTGCACATAACAATATACCTACTTACTTCCCATTAAAGTATAAATTCTACAAATAAATAATACTCAACAATATTTAAAATAAAATGAGCCAAGAACGTTTCTCGATAAAACCTGATAACATTGAAATCTTTTGTACAGCACTAAAGCCGCCATGTTTTGTGGCCAGATGACGTCACAGTGGCACGAAATTTTGGTTGACGTTTCATTTCCATAGGTTTCCTACTTCATTGATTTCATAGTTGTCAATGTTACAGTTGTCAATACAAGTTAAGTACAGTAGATTGGGGGGAATAGAGACTAGAGTTAGAATTAGAGACAAATCTGGGATGTCACAATACTTTTGTTGAGCTGTTAGATTTAACTTTGTTCAACTGAAAATTACTTTTATTTTGACTTTTAATTAGTGTTTAAGAATATTAAATAGTTCAATTTAGTCATCAAAGTTTTGTAACTCATTAAAGATATTAAAAAGTTAATTACCTAAAGTTAGGTACCTACCTAACAACTAAATAGTGCCAAAACTATCGATTCATCCCCTGGGTGCCTGGGTGAATAGGGACAAATGAGTTTTTGTAACTTCTTCTGATTATTCTTTTTAATAAACTATATATTTAATGCATTATAAATGAAAATTTTAAAACTATAAAAATCAATGTCGAACTTAAAATGTGTCAAAATTCCCACCATTTTACGGTACTGTTTTTGCCTACGAAGCAGTGTACAAATTAAGTTCAGACCCCTCAATGATACCCCTCCACACTGACTATAGTGAAAGCTTAGGGCACTTTTGCGCTGACGGTCTCATATATGTTAATAGATATCGAGAGGTGAAAGGCGATTTAGTTTAAGCGACATTACAGGAGAGCCCTTTACTGGTGGTAGGACTTCTTGTGAGTCCGCACGGCTAGGCACAACCACCCTGCCAATTTTTACCATGAAGCAGTAATGCGTTTCGGTTTGAAGGGTGGGGCAGCCGTTGTAACTATAAACCTTAGAAATCATATCTCAAAAGCGAGTGACGGCTTTTACGTTGATAGATGCCTATGGACTCCAGTAACCACTTAGCACCAGGTGGGCTGTGAGCTCGTCCACACAATTAACCTCTTTTTTTGTAGGTTAAAATTTGGTAAAAATTATCAAAAAAAAAACTTCTTCAGATATTCGAATGGAGTAAACATAATTGAAGTTCAATTAAAAACATCGAACTGTTGATGCTGATACCAAATAAAACGTACCTCTAATTACAAAGATAAATGTCGCGTATCAATCGAAATTTCACTTAAATCAAATAGCCCTTCTGTCCTCTATATGTATACATATTTTTTATTTAATAATAACCTGTACCTAGCTCTTTAGGCCGTGGTGCTTCCTTTTCATCCTGGCGTAAGGACCGATTTCAGGATCCATCACGAAGTCATACAGTACGCTTGACCAGCTATTGTGTTGAGGCAGCGTGTCGTAGAACTCCGAAGCTATGCGTTTTACCTATAAAAAAAATAAAGAAACACACGTTACGAGGTTTATAATTCAATTATTCTTCTCAGTATAACTTACAAAACTCACAAACACTTAACAGAAAAATTCTCATGAAATATTATTCAAAACTAAATCACGGTAAACCACTTTATTACATGGCTTTATTAGTCCTCGCGGTTAGGTACCACCAGCCCGCCCATTTCTGCCGTGAAGCAGTAATGCGATACGGTTTGAGGGGTGGGGCATATGGGAAATTATATCTATGGGCTCCAGGTGGAACCGTCAAGACGTTCAAACGTATAAAAGCTGTGTAAAAATAATATAAAACAACAACATTAAAATTACATTTGAAATTCTCAATAATTCGTCTCAATATATGAGATATAATTTGATCACAATTCTGTTTGCTTCAAGAAGTATAAATTCAAAACTTACTGGTTTTAATTTAAAAAAAAGAATAAGAAATCACTAAACAGATTCAATACAACCAAATCAACTTCTGAGTACAACAACTAATAAAACTATACAATATTAAACTAACTCAACCGATGCAAAGAACTAAACTTGTCAAAAAGAATCGGACACCTCACAGTTATAGTGGTTTCTTAGGGTTTTTTCCAGTCGTGTAAATAATTAAAATTACTTTTACTGGGTTTAATTAAAACAAATTTTACCGGTTTAATCTCGCTTTCTTGTTCGTTTAACTTTAAAATGATAATAAAAAACAAAACATACACGAGGTTAAAACCATAAAAGTGGCTTTTAAATGATTTACAATAATTTCATTGTCANAGCCAATCAGGCGCATAACGCATTTCGTGTGACATGCTAGTACGATTTTGATTGGCGCGCGCACGCATCACGCAATCAGGAGCCAATCAGGCGCATAACGCATTTCGTGTGACATGCTAGTACGATTTTGGTCCCCATAATTTTCATACCCCGGGCCTATATATGTAAATCGATTCTAAAGGAGTAAACTCCAAAAACTAACTTATTGTAAGTGTGTAAGGATGTGGTAAATGAGTGAAAGAGGTATGTAGTGCTGTGAACGATGAGGGAATATATAATAAAAATAACAAAACCTCATTCAACCACATAATACCTCATTATAACAAAAAAAAATGTCCAAATAAAAAAAATTATGTTAGGGGTGGACAACCCTAATCACTTAGGGGTATGAAAAATAGATAGTAGCCGATTCTCAGATTTACTGAATATGCATAAAAAAATTCATGAGAATCGGTCAAGCAGTTTCGGAGGAGTATGGGAACGAACATTGTGACACGAGAATTTTATATATTAGATTAAACTAACTCAACCGACGCAAAGAACTAAGCTTGTCAAAAAGAATCGGACACCTCACAGTTATAGTGGTTTTTTAGGGTTTTTCCAGTTATGTAAATAATTCAAATTACTTTTACGGGGTTTAATTAAAACAAATTTTACCGGGTTCAATTAAAACTGATTTTACCGGTTTAATCTTGCATTTTTGTTCGTTTAACTTTAATAAACTTTAAAATGATAAAACAAAACACACACGAGATTAAAACCGTAGCTTTTAAATGATTTACAATAATTTCATTGTCAAGTCAAAAAAAATCAAGATACCCACTTCGATCGATCATCTTTATTTTTTACTGCATATGATATATATCATTGATGAACGAGCTCACAGCCCACCAAGTTTTAAGTGGTTACCGGAGCCAGGGACGTCTTAAATTAAGCTGGGGCCCTTGGGCACATAAGAATTTGAGGCCCTTTTGGAAAGTAAAAAAAGCGAATTATAATAAAAAAAATTTACTGAGTATGACCATTTATTATAGGTAATCAAATACGGTATGATATAATATGTCATTAATGATATTAGAATGCTGCTGGTTTTTTGGTTACGATCACGATAACGGTTTCCATTACAACGGCTGCCCCGCCCTTCAAACCGAAACGCATTATACTATCTTCACGGCTACTATATATCTTCCTACACTATATATCTTCACGGCAGAAATAGGCAGGATGGTAGTACCCACCCGCGTGGACTCTCAAGAGGCCCTACCACCAGTAAAGCTTGGCCTGTCCTGGGAAGATTGTTTGACGCGTCCGTGGACTCACCTCGGGCAGCCTCCGGCCTGGGACCGCCGGGAAGTCGTGGTGCTCGTTGTGGTAGCCAACGTTGAACGTGATCCAGTTCAGGGGACCGTAGTACGAATACGTTTCGAAGCCCTTCCTGAACATGTAGTGCTCAGATATGAAATGACCTGGATAAAAAAAAACGACTTCGAATATACACTAAAAACAATAATCATCGAAATCGGTTGGCGTGATATTGAGTTATTGAGTTATTATTCATCTATTTGTCGCGCACGTACTTAATGCTAATTTAAGACTTATGTGGTTCTCTCATGGATACCATTATCAGAACTGGACCAAATTGAAAAAAAGAATCATCAAAATCGATTCACCCAGTCAAAAGTTATCAAGTAACAATCATTAAGAAAAATACAGTCGAATTGAGAACCTCCTCCTTTTTTGAAGTCGTTTAAAAACAAAAATGGGCCGCCTTGGAACCCTTGACCACTTTGCCCATTACTGCCTTAAAACNTGGTTCTCTCATGGATACCATTATCAGAACTGGACCAAATTGAAAAAAAGAATCATCAAAATCGATTCACCCAGTCAAAAGTTATCAAGTAACAATCATTAAGAAAAATACAGTCGAATTGAGAACCTCCTCCTTTTTTGAAGTCGTTTAAAAACAAAAATGGGCCGCCTTGGAACCCTTGACCACTTTGCCCATTACTGCCTTAAAACAGTAATGCGTTTCGATTCGTGGTGTAAACACAAAAACTGGTGGTAGAATATTTTGGGAGTCCTCACGGGTAGCCTTAATGAGTTGCGGTTTGAAAAATGGAGCAGTCGTTGTACTGTAAGATCTTACAACTCATGTCTCAAGGTGGATCTCAGAACGGCTGCTCCGCCCTTCAAACCGAAACGCATTACTGCTTCACGGCAGAAATAGGCGGGGCGGTGTTACCTACCCGCGCGGACTCACAAGAGGTCCTACCACCAGTAAAGCTTTGAAGCGACACCCCTTGCTAGGGTCTGGTCGCCCCAACTGGTTGCTTTTTAACAAACACTTCTTCGTGTATATGACGTGTCCTCCTCTCCTCCATCCTCCATGCTCGAGACGACAGGAAGTCGTGGTGATAACAAGAACATATTCAACCTACCCGCCACTGGATGGACGCCCATCGCCATCAGCGAACCAAACACCAAATACCCCAGCACCTTCCAACCTACACAGAAAAAACGATGCTATACAATTATTATAATTTTTTTCCTACCTTTGCTGATAGCCTTGAGAGGCTATTTCAGCTTCTCCCTAACGTGTGTAGGTGAGCTCACGGGGCTCAAACCGGAGTGTTGCTAACACTGATCCTAGCAAGAGCCATGCTTCGCAGAATCTACCACCGGATCGGAAACGCGACCCACCGAGAAGATCCGGCAAGAAACTCAGTGGGCTATCAACACACCTTGTACATTACTAGATTTTGCTCGCGACTTCGTCCGCGTGGAATAGTTCACAAATAATGCTTTATTTTAGAACAAATTTATTTTAGAAAAAACCCGATTTGGAATCATTCTTTATTGGTGCTCCGTTTGTATTGGTCTTGGCGTGATGTTATATAGCCTTCCTCAATAAATAGGCTATCTAACACTGAAATAATTTTTCAAATCGGACCAGTAGTTCCTGAGATTACCGCGTTCAAACAAACAAACTCTTCAGCTTTATAATATTAGTATAGATTTAGTAATATTGTCACGGACTCATGTTAAAAATTTTCATCGAAACACTAATTAAGGGGTAATCTATACTCTATACTAATATATAAATCTACAGTGGGCGAGGGCCTTAATCTTGTTACTAGTTTAGGCCAAATAAAAAGAAAACTATAAAAGTTTTTTTTAAAATTTAATTCCTAGTCTATTATAATCCTAGTTTAGTTTAAGCCTTAAATCAGCGGTCGGGGAACTTTTTTAATTATTACCCCCAAATTATTTATGTGTAAGTTGGATATTACCCCATGGCGAATAACAAAAAAAAAGAAATCGCTTCTTTTTAGCATCTTTCATATTATATATAGCCCTCGTGATAATCTTGAAAAGAAAACAATAACTAAAAATTTAATTTATATATAATTTATTCAATTTATCAATGTAATAATACCTAGTAATACATAACGGTCATAATAGTGATATTGTAATATACAGTTGAGGAAAAAAAAATCGCCACCACAGAAAATATAAGTAAATGATAATTTCTTGTTATTTTATAATTCATATGATATTTTTCTTGTATTATTAGACGAAAACACTAGTTTAAATTTTATATATAGCCCCCATAAAAAAGCTTTTTTAATTTAAATATTTTTTTTCGGTTTTACCCCCAAAATTTCATTTTACCCCATTTGGGGTAATTTACCCCGGTTCCCCGACCGCTGCCTTAAATCGAATGTTGGATTGTCGCTCACCGAAAAGCTTCACGACGACGGCGTCGAAAAACAGCTGAATGATGAGGTTGATGAGCTCCAAGGGCGTCGGCGGCTTCGGCCTGACCACGAGCGGCCTCAGGGCGTAGAAGAAGGGCTGCAAGAACAGCCAGCACAGCTTCCCGCCCGTCGTGCAAAACAGTTTCGCTTCTAGCAGGGTCGGTAGATCAGTATCTATAACTTCGTCTCCTTGGTACTGAAAGAAAGCATCAAGATATTTTAATAGGGAATTCCAATTCGATATTGATGAATTTCAGTTTTATTTATCAAGTTTAATCGCGGACGGCCTAGTGTTGAGCGATCGTAGACCTCAACCCGAATGTCATCGTACACCTTGAGACATGAGGTCAAAATTCGAGCTAGCAAACGCTTTCATGTTACAACTAATAAAGGATATCCTATTTTTTCAATTCTGCGACTTAAACGAATTTTTTTTTATTGCTTAGATGGGTGGAAGAGCTTACAACCCACCTGGTGTTAAGTGGTTACTGGAGCGCATAGGCATCTACAACGTAAATGCGCCACCCACCTTGAGATATAAGTTGTAAGGTCTCAGTATAGTTACAACGGCTGCCCTATACCCTACAAACCGAAACGCATTACTGCTTCACGGCAGAAATAGACAGGGCGGTGGTACCTACCCGTGCGGACTCACAAGAGCTCCTACCACCAGTAAAAAAAAAGACAAATCATTGTTGTTTTGCGCAAAGGTACGTGAGGACGCAATGTACACCGCTTTCTTACGAGTCCATTGAACTCCAGCGTCGATTTGCGTTAGATGGCTGGTCGTACAAAAATGTTCATACTCGCGAAATGTACTCACCCTGTGATGTTCCAAATGGTATTTCTTGAAGCTGATAGATATCGGTACGCCTATCGGGAGGTTCGCGAAGAATCCAAACAGCCTATTATGTAAAGGACGATTGTGACCAAACGCTAGATTATGCGCTATCTCGTGGATCGCTGCGAACGAAAACAAAATAATCTTAACTTGCTTCATTCGTTGGGTCGTTTACTGAAACAACTCAACTCTGATATAACCACTCCCGTTGTTTTTTAGGAATTCCGGTCACCGTTCTCGTCGAACGCGACGAAAAGTTCTACATGCAACCTAACCCATAGACACAATCCATTGAGTTTCTCGCTGGATCTTCTCAGTGAGTCGCGATACCGATCCAATAGTAGATTCAGTGAAGCACTGCTCTTGCTAGGGCTAGTGCTAGCAAATTCTCTTAGGTCGAGCTGAGCTCACCTACCAGTCCACGGAAAGTTGGAATAGCCTCCTAGGCTACCAGCGAATAGTTAGGAGAAAAAAATACAAGATCACAAATGACTTTCACGGCAAGTTAACAACAATGTCTCGTAAAAGTTAATCCTGAAAATATGGTTAATAAGTGATGGTAGGCAAAGTAGATAAGGTGAAGAATTCTTGCCAGGGCAGATACTGGCAAGTTCTCTAAGGCTGAGCTCAGACCTCACCTATTGCCTTTGCTGAAGCCAGAATCACCTCTTGTTTACTATAATAGCAGTTAGGTAGCCAAAAGGCTTACCCTACACAGCCCTAATTAACTAACGTTTGAAAGTTTATAATCTGTAATGCGTCATTGTCGACAGAGTGCCATTTGTATTTACACGTTGCAAACAATCGTGTCACCGAAAATGTAATCGTATGATGTAATGTTTCAAGGTCGCTTATCGATATGAACTCGGCGCTTCACGTATAATAATAGACGTAGCATTTTTTTATTTTTCAGGCAGCATATGCCAGACTTCCATTGCGGAGACGCAAATGAGGATTGTTGCGGTCGTACCTTATCGTTTCACTTATCGCAAGAGGCTATATACAAACGAGGCAGATAGAGCCACACAATCAGTGGTCTGGACGCCACATCCAAGGCGGTCTTTCATCACCAGGTTGCTCTTTTATTCGTTGCTTACACCGTCTTCTTGGGTCTCGTTCAAGGACCCCCAACGGCACGCACTTTGGCCAGAATTCGACCAGAATCCGAGCCCTAAGTTCGAACACAGCGTCGGAGTGAAGATAGAAGAGTGCACCACGAATCGTCGGTACTGATTTGCGAAGAGTCCATAACCTGGCCACACCCGACGGAGGAGACCACGATCACGTGCCCTCTCCACCATTCTCTTATTATTATTATGGCCTAGACTGCCCTAGACCAAGGATGAGCAACACGCGGTCCGCCAACCATTTATAAAATTGACCTTACTTTATCGACTTTCTCCCATCAATTCGTTTTTCTGTTCTTTTGTTGTTTGTTTGTTAATAAAGAAATAAAGTTTCGTAACTTATTAGTGAGTGTTAATATATGTGTGACCCGCCAAAATAAATTTAAATTTAAATTGGCCCATTGGATTACTGGTGACCCGGAGGCCTTTCTAGTTTCACCAGGACAGGGGCTTAATCTCGCTATTTCTTTGGTAATCATATTACTTACTACGCTTCGAATGTATAGTTTTCACAGTTGCGGACGACAGATTCTATTCTATTATAATCAATTAGTACATAACAGAATGAATTTACTATTGTAGGATCGCAAGTGTGGCCTCTACGCTCCTAGATCGCTAAGTCCTCTTAAAGATTCAAAACAGTCTTTATACTAAATTATTTTAACGATAATTTTCAAATTCACGTATCCATTTAGTAAATCCATTATTTTACCTACTTGGGTTTTCACGTTTGTCACGTACGTGCAACGGATTTGTTAGATTCGAAAAATCTTGCGATTGATAACACAACGCGATATGATTATGAGTGTACATTTTTATTTAGCATATCTCCGTTGTTGTTTTCCTACCTAAGCTGACGGTCTAGACTCTAGAGACCATATCAGCGTCACCGAGATAGTAGGTGAGCTCACGGGGCTCAAACCCGACGATGTTACTAACACGAACCCTAGCAAGCGCCGTGGTTCGCAGAATCTACCACCGGATCGGAAGCGCAACCCACTGAGAAGATCCGGCGAGAAACTCAGTGGGCTGTGTCTGTGGGTTTAAAGCTTACGCTTAAAACTGTCTATCAGGATACGGTTCTTAAGATTATTAACGGAATTAAATCAAACGCTCAAAGCTCTGACGGGATAAGCGCTGAGATGATATCGCTCTCACTGCCTTCAATATCTTGAACAGCTGATGGTGACAGGAAAGGTAGATGGCAAACGTCCCAGAGGACGCAGTCCTACGAGATGGTCGGACCAAATACGATATTCTCTGGACATCAACTTCCCCAATGCCCTTCACAAAGCTAAGGATCGTAAAAGATGGAGGGAAATCGTACGGGAGAAACTGATGCAGCGGGGAAGTCACGACCCTCACTAATGAGAAAAACGACGCGAGGAGGAGAGCCTTCAACATTGGAGGCGTTTACTAGCATTATCAATAAGTCTATTGATACAAATGCGTTTCCTGCTCAGTGGTAGTGTTCTGTGGTTAGTCCTATTCCGAAAGATTTTATTATTATCATGTGTATCACACACTGCCTTGCCTGAGAAGACGGCAGGACACACTCCGGCGAGGTGGGCAGCAATCGGCCGGAGCGTTAGGGACTATTGGGAGAGAAACCGGCGGACTATACGGGCATTGTCCAGCAAGACTGCTTTTCGCATCTGGGCCGCCACCGACTTTTTGTAGACACCAAGCTTTTTATTTATTTATTGCTTAGATGGGTGGACGAGCTCACAGCCCACCTGGTGTTAAGTGGTTACTGGAGCTCATAGACGACAACGCAACATGACCGCCGCCATGCAACTTAAGACATGAAGATCGAAGTCTCAATTGAATTCTACGACGTTCGAACCGAAACGCATAGCTGCTTCGTGGTTGAAACTGGCAGGATGGCGGTGCCTATTCGTGCCGGCTCACACACAAGCAAAATTTAACAATTTTCGTGTTCTCTCATTTCAATATAGACACTAGACAGAATGACGTCACATGTAGGTAAGCTTCAGGCTCGCTCATTATGTCTGAAGTTTCGAATGCATTAAAGTTTTATTGGCTACGAACGGCTATCGCTGTTAATTCGTCGACTATTGAATATTCTGTTTGGAGGGTAGTTTGCACAATCGGTCTGCGATCCGCGACAACAGAAGGCAGTAGTAGGTTAACGTTGTTTATCTGGCGCGTGTCCGTCGCAGGTGACGTAGAAACTATACAATATTTAGACGGTAATTGGCACAATCAGTGTGCGATTCCCGAAAACAGAAGGCAGTAGTAGGTTAACGTTGTTGATCTGGCGCGTGTCCGTCGCAGGTGACGTAGAAACTATACAATATTTAGACGGTAATTGGCGCAATCAGTCTGCGATCCGCGACAACAGAAGGCAGTAGTAGGTTAACGTTGTTGATCTGTCGCGTGTCCGTCGCAGGCGACGTAGAAACGATACAATATTTAGACAGTAGTTGTCACAATCAGTCTACGATCCGCGAAAACAGAAGGCAGTACTAGGTTAATATTTTTCATCTGTCGCGTGTCCGTCGCAGGCGAACGCAAAATCTTAACAAAATTGCTTTCGTATTTCTTAAAAGCGTGACGGAGCAACATGTAATAACACTTATCCGATTTCGTTTCATATCAACGCCCTTAATTAATCTATCTGCAGTATATTAATCTATTATATCATATTATATCTTTTTTTTAATGTAGGTAACGCAACTTATGATATCTGATATTGCAATTACGAACACAACTTACACGAGTTTCAAGCGAATCAATAATTATCGAACAAGTTCGGGATAAATTATGTTATTTAATGAATAGATAACTCGATAACATGCATTGCTCTAGTTCAAGGATGAGCAACATGCGGCCCGCCAAGCATTTCTAAAATTGAATTTATTTTATCGACTTTCTCCCATCCATTGGATTTTCTGTTCTTTTCTTGTTGATTTTTAATATATCTATAAAAATGAATTGCTGTTCGTTAGTCTCGCTAAAATTAGAGAACGGCTGGACCGATTTGACTAATTTTGATCTTGAATTATTAGTGGAAGTCCAGAGAAGGTTTAAAAGGTAGGTAACAATGAAAAAGCTCGGAATTATATAAAAACAATTTTGTTTTTCCTTTGATGTGTTCCCTTGATGTGTCTTTTATTTATCGATTGGGGCACTACGAAGTCTGCCGGGTAAGCTAGTTTTTAATAAAGAAATAAAGTTTCGTAAATTATTAATAAGATTTGATCTATGTGCGGCCCGTCAAAATTATTTAATTAAATTCAATTATTAATTATAATCTAAATTGGCCCATAGACGAAAAAGGTAGCTCACCCCTGCTTTAGTTTATATTGAATCGGTGTTGATTTTTTTATATTGAGCTATACATGTTTATTGTACGTAAGTGTACTACTCACTCACGGAGACATTCACGTAACAAATGTTAGCTGTACGTAATTAGACAGAGACAGAAGATTTAAGTCCGAGTATATTTTTTTCCTGCCTATGCTCATAGCTTTGAGAGGCTATTTCAGCTTCTCCTTGACGTGTAGGTGAGCTCACGGGGCTCAAGCCTGAGTGTTGGTAACACTGGCCCTAGCAAGGGCAGTGCTTCGCAGAATCTACCATTGGATCGGAAACGCGACTCACTGAGAAGATCTGGCGAGAAACCCATGGAAACTAGCTATTGACGCGTCTTGGCGGGAGGGAATATAGAGCCGTATGGCGTCACGGCATAGGGCACGATGCTCTTGCATGTCGTCACGTTCATCAAATCAAATTTTTCACTCACCAAGCATCAGAGAGTGATTTATGACTCCGCCGAAGCAGTACGCGAGGATCAGGGTCATCGGCCAGCTCAGGTGCTGGACTATAGGCATCATCGCGAACTGCGCCAGGACCATACTGAGCACGACCCATTTGAAAAGAGGATCATAGCCGAACAACTGTTTGATCTCAGGATATTTTTCTGTAAAAAAGAATTAATCAAATACATTATTTTGAAGTTATATTCAATTATGCATCATCAATTTACTGTTGCACGTATTTATGTTTACTTCATACAATATTTAATCTCCTTCTTGGCGGAGCTTTTGCCCGCCCACCTGTCCTGGTGATACTGGAGAGGCTCATCAGTAATCCCTCATTCATAAAAAAAAAAAACAATATATAAGTAATTCAATTCAATCAGAGTCGATACGGTCTTTGCCGCGGAAACATGTATTTTCTTCCTTTCTCGATCTCTTTTAATACCCATTCCAAGTTAATCAGTAACATTTTGCATTTCCCTTTTTTTATTGCTTAATAAAAGCCCATAGACATCAACGACGTAAATGCCGTAGTCACATATCTTAAATCATGAGTTATAAGTTCTACACTACAAACACATTACTGCTAGACGGCAGAAATAGGCGGGGCGGTACCTAACCGTGCGGACTCACAAGAGACTCACATCATTATCAGCGCAAGGACATTGCGGAATCGTATCACGCACGTGTTGGACCTCACGTGCGTCTACCTTAATGATACCTTATCTAATATGCGATAAAGATAAAAGTCCATTGTATTGTTGCTAATCGAAGGCATTCGTTTTATGATAACGGTCAATAATGCCTATTCGCGATTTTCGAAAATTAACTGATTCGGAAGATGCATTGTTTTTATTTATTTCTCTCTTAAAGGTATAAGTACAAATACAAATAGAGATTAACCTTATAATTTTTTTTGGTAGCCTTTGAAAGAGCTGAAGGTTCAAAAAGGAAAGAAGGAACTAGGTTCAAAAACTCGTATTACTGATCTCCAGGTTCCCTCGTTCTTAGGATAGATTAGGTTAGGTTAAATTGTGCACAGATGCTGAGTCGGCTGTTGCCGAACGTCGGGGGGCCTGACGTGGTGGTGCGCTGCCTCTACACGGGGGTGTGAGAGACGGGGGTGGTGCGGTCGACACTGCACGGGGCTCCCGTGTGGTAACACGCCCTGACCCGCGACAACGTTGCGGCGTTGGGACGTTCGCAGCGCGCGATTGCGGTCAGAGAAGTTCGTGGATACCACACCGTCTCGTTCGAGGCGGCGTACGTGCCCGCCGGGACGCCTCCCTGGGGCCTGGAAGCGGAGGCGCTTGCTGCGGATGACACGTGGTGATGCGATCTCCGCTCCAGGAGGAGCCACGTCCCGGCGCGGCGGAAATTCGAGCACGGAAACTCCAATCTCGGCGTGCCATGCTCGAGGCGTGGTCTCGCCGCCTGGCGGACCCCGCCTACAGGCGACGGACCGTCGAGGCGGTCCACCCGGTCCTCTCGGACTGGGTGAATAGCGACCGAGGACGTCTCACATTCCGAGCGCCGCAGATGCTCACGGGACACGGCTGTTTCGGTCGCTACCTGCACCTCGTCGCCCGGAGGGAGCCGACGCCGAAGTGCTACCACTGCAGTGGCTGCAACGAGGACACGGCGGAGCACACGCTCGCGTACTGCCCCGCTTTAGCGGAGCAGCGCCGCATCCTCGTTGCAAAAACAGGACCGAAATTGTCGCTTCCGACCGTCGTGACTACGATGCTCGGCAGCGATGCATCCTGGTAGGCGATGGAACGGGAAAGGGAGAGTTCTTCTTCCCTCTCGGCGCTGTGCCGCAGCTGCCGAGCCGGGGATCGAATATCCAGCTCCGGCCCCTATGAGGAGGCAGTCTCTTCCTGGTGATAGTCACGGGGCAACCTAAGGGTGTTGAGGATGCGCCGCACGCTACCGTCACTCTAGCGCGCTGGCATCAGGAGGACAGGACGACGCGTCGGCGGTTGCGGACTGCAATTTGGTCCGCATTGTCGTCGTCGCTGTCTTCGCCGAACATACTGTGGAACAGCAACCCGGTCGGGGGTGTATCGCGTTCCGACGCGGCAGGCTGGACCCGCGGTATGCTTTCAACACCTTGCAGATCGTCAAGTCCCACATACCTCGCGCGCCCCCTAGGCGCGGGGACCTCGTAGGAGGTTTCGCTTCGGCCCGAAAAAAAAAGGTTGTTAACAGACGTTGCGGACTAGTGTTGAAAGATCATTAGGTGTTATTATTTAAGTAGGACATTATGCGAGTGTGTGTGTGTGTGTGTGTGCATGCATCTGTGTGTATACTATACATAGGTATGAGTGAATTTATTGGGCTCCGAAATCAAAAATCAGTTTACTTCACAGTCCCGAGTCAGTTTTCTGTTTGTGACACTTTTTCACTAGGAAACAGAGTCGAAATAATATTTATACCGTCCCATATCATAGGAGGATCCAGGAGACGCTGTGCAAGAAGCTACTGCATAGAGCCAGTCCCTGACTGAATAGGGCCCAAAACCAGGGAACACTGCACGTCTTTACAGCGGTAGTCGACGGTCTTATGACCTAGCGTATAATTACTGCAAGCATCACGGTCAGCATTATCCGAGATCGCACCAATCTCGTTTAACAAAATCCTCTCACGCCAATTAACGAAGTAATGAAAGCGTTAACACTTCAGTTTGCACTAATTAAGATACTAGTTCACAATTGTTTACAGTGATTAGCACGTACACTCGAACTGTAAATAGATGTTCTGAAGAATGGAGTTCAGAAACGTGAAGCTCTGTGTGCTTAGTGCGAGTTTTTTAACGTTCTCGATAGCGTAAAAGTTAGCCCAATTTTGTATGCAGTTGGAACAGCGCCCCTAGCGGCAAACGTAGGCAAACAATCCCATTCCATACAATGTAAATATGAGCTAACTTTTACGCTATCGAGAACGTTAAAAAACTCGCACAAAGCACACTGATAAAGAAAACCGTCTTTTATACAATACCAAGTTTACTGGTGGTAAGCTTTTAGAGAAAGCCGTTGGGCTTGTCGACAATGCCAATCTCAAGCAACATTTAAGTCTTCGCTCTAAAGCAAAACTTTAGTTCGTTACGTGTGTTTACGGGTGTGCTCCGAGGAATTGTTTCATAGGACGGTCTTGTGGTGACTAAAAAGACCACTACCACGTTTAGGTTGAAAGACTTCAACCATTTGGAGGTAGTTGAAGGAAAAAAAGGGAAGAATGACAGATGAGAGTTACAACATTATGGATGAAGAAAATAAAACATGTTTTTTTGTACTGCTTAGATGGGTGGACAAGCTCACAGCCCACCTGGTGTTAAGTGGTTACTGAAGGCCATAGACATCTACAACGTAAATGCGCCACCCACCTTGAGATATTAGTTCTGAGATCTCAAGTATAGTTACAACCTGCCCCATAGTTGCCCCACCCTTCAAACCGAAACGCATTACTGCTTCACGGCAGAAATAGGCAGGGTGGTGGTACCTACCCACGCGGACTCACAAGAGCTCCTACCATCAGTAACAAAATAAATGAGTCGACTATTAGCAATGTGACTTTTGGACAATTATTGGTAAATCAGAAAAATGAATTATTGACTTTGTATTCCATTGGCAGTCACAAAACTCTTCTGAACGACATCTTAGGTAAATAACAGGTTAAGTATTAACCTTTATTTAATGCAGGTTGTCAGCCGTATTCTTTGAAGGAGACGATTATATTCAAATCAATCTGTATTGACATATCAATAACATTTTTTTGTCCAAATGCACAGATTGCCACCTTTGATAATAGACGACTCAAATGTACATGGGATTATGTGTTTCGAGACATTAATATAAATGCTATGTGGACAGGCATGTTTCATTAAAGGAGTTACATAAAAAGCCTTTCTTCTTTCTTTTTATTTCAGCATGGGACATTAGCAAAATTAATGCCTAAAGTCTTCTTTTATAGCCAACAGATGATGCAGAAAATGACACAATACACAAGCATTGGTTGATAAAGTAAAAATATTTATAATATAATGATAATTCAATATAGTTGTGGCCTCAAGGATATGATGCCCGGTGCATTCGTGTTGAACGATACTGTAATGAAAACCAGACCCGCAATCAACAACTAAGACTTGGAACTCATGTTTCAAGGAGGGCTAGCGGCATTTAGGTTGTTGATATCCATGGGTTCCGGTAAGCACTTAATACCAGGTAGGATGTGAGTTCATCCACAATAAAAAGACTTATCTAAAGTAACATAAAATTTTTAGCAAAATTCAATTATGATTTATCATTACATTTTATGGGAGTAATTAATCAAGATAGTGAATGATAACATGGCGTTTTATGATTTCCAGATTGGACTGTGTTTATTTATAACGTAATAAAAGATAGTAATGGAAATCTTTGAAAACATCTTCCGATATGAAGTTAAGAAGAAGTACATCAAATTCAAATAGTTAATTTTTTTTATTGCTTAAAATTTTGCTTAATACACCATATTTACATTTGTAATTAAAAGTTTGTTTTATTTAGTATTAGCATCAACAGTTCGATGTTTTTAATAGAACTTCAATTAAGTTTACTCTATTCAAATAGATGAAGAAGTTTGTTTGTTATGATATTTTGTTCAAATTTTAAACTTTAAATGACTTTTCTCCTGTAAAATTACAAAAATGTCTCTTAAACCAAGCCTTTAAACAAAGCTTTTCACACCTCTATAAGCATAATACTCATAATATGAACATGCATGCATTTTGAGACCCAATATTTATATCTCAATTATAATCTACAACATGTCATTCCTCTCAACAGTATTAACTGATTTTTTTTATGGTTGGTGGACAAGCTCACAGCTTACCTAGCGTTAAGTGGTTACCGGAGCCCATGGACATCAACAACGTAAATACTGCCCTTAAGACATAAATTGTAAGTCTCAGACAACTGCCCCACCTTTGAAACCTATAGTCTATTGGGGGTCTATATGTTTTCCTTTTAATAAAAAAGATTATTAAATGCGGGTTTTATAAAAACAGAAACACAATGAACTGAGCTAAATTTTTTAAATGATTATATGATTTTTTTGGCATTTACGATGAAGTTAATTATATTTTTTGGTCATATGTAACAATATAAATACTAGCTAAGAGTATACATCATTCGCGCCGGCCGCCGCCAAACCTCAAAAAGATACCAGTTTATGAACTTATTATAAGTGTGATGTCACGTGACATTGTAGACATGTAAATCATTTCAATTGCAGTAAAGTACAGGTCTCATTTTAAATATGACGCAAAACGAGAATTTACGAAATTTTAACATATCACTCGTTAATACGCATAAAAACGTCGATATTTTTCAATTTGAATAACATCTTTTGCTTTTGAAGATATTTTTAAAGTTCATAACGAATAATAGAAGTCAATTAAACTTGACCATCAAGTTTTATTAGCGGTTTCTGCGATGTCAATTAGGGCGGAACCGGTGTCACATCTTATATTTCTAAACACAGTACGAGTTACTTAACGTTTGAATACGTAGTTATCATGTCCAAATTCAAAACTCATGTATTATTTATAATGACGTAATTGGTTAAATACCTACCTAGAATTATTTTTCGGCGGCTAGCGTGAGGCTCCTCCGTATAAACCCATTCGAAATCCGTTCTAGACACTTTAGCACCCATTTTTTTCTCAGTATTTCCTTATTCAGTTCATAAGACAAACTCAATATTTGTATAACGAATTGCACTATGTCATCACGAGATAAAACCTACTGCTAAGATGTTTTTAATTTTTATTTTATGATATAATTTATGTAAACACGTCCATCCACACCCCACCAATTCAGATACTGACTGACAGACTGACAGATACTAGATAGGTCTCTAATCTATAATATCTTTTATTAGGTACCGGTAAAATGGGGCGATTAGGGATTGAGAGGCGAATCGGGAAAAAACCGGGAAAATCTTTCGACGCTCAATATAAGTTTTATATTCGTTGCAAAATCTTCCATTTTTTGTAGTTTAATAGTAGAATGTTGAAAGTTCACAAAACAATTCTGAATATGCATGATAATACCTGCTAACTTATGAAAAATCGCGTTTCAAATTAACTTCCTGTGGTGGTAATTATTTTAGTGCTAGAAACTTTGCTCTCTTTTATTTATTTGATAATAATAGAAGACGACTATGATTTATAAACGTTATTTAGTGTTTGAACCAGCATATATATTAAAGGTAAGTCTCAGTTGTTATTGGTTTTAATGTATTTGATTAAATAAAAATACATGTAAAAATCTGTTGTTTTTGGGGATATTGGGGACGTCTTAGGTACAAATAACAACGAAAAAGGGGTCNAAATAAAAATACATGTAAAAATTTGTTGTTTTTGGGGATATTGGGGACGTCTTAGGTACAAATAACAACGAAAAAGGGGTCAATTGGGATGAGAATACGTGAAATGGAAACGACCTAAGTATAAATAGGTACAGGTTTGTAGGGTTGTCTATGTAGTTATAACAATATTTTTTAAATTTGTTGGTAAAAATCTGGTTTATTCGAATCGAAATTGGGAATAAGTCTTTAGTTGAAATAGATAAGCAATTTAATATAAGTAAGTCGATTTTGCAGAGACATGTAACAAGATCAATGAAATCTCAAGGTGGACAAAAATGTCTAAGTAATACATAATAAAATATTAAAAATTTGTTCAGAGTGGGGGTATTCATCTGATTAATCCATGGAATAACCGACACACCTAATCTCTTAACCCAGATAGAAATATCAGCCCCTAAGTACTTACCAAGAACGGAGAAATATAAACCGTTTCTAAGAAAGCCCACTATATATGTATAAATATATATATATATATATATATTTTTTGTTGTTGTTGTTAATGCACTGTCGATTGCACCTTTAATTGAGGTGATGTCTGCCATGTACTTTTGTCAGTTTTTTTATTTTTTTTATTGATGATCACTTTGTTGGTGCAACTAAATAAATAAATAAATTAAAACTATATATAAAAATAAAAGTAGTGCCGACCCTAGCAAATTTCTCATTTCGTCACAATTAACCGCAATTTTCGGGTAAATAGGGATTACACCTATTTTTGCATTTTTTGCTTAAACTGGAATGCTAGTTGCATAATTTTAAATTAGACAACAAAGATGCCCCCAAGACTCAATCATTTTGATCTTGATATAGCATTGTATACATCAACAACTACCTTAAAATTGCTCATAAAGTTGGAATTTGTCCCTAATCGCCCCATTTTACGGTACTTTTTTATTTGCTGGCATTGTCAATTTCTGTTTTCAAATGACAGATTAAGTAGGTACATTGTGTCATTTTATTAGGTTTATTTAATAACGGCTCCATACCACTGAAGTAGGAAACCTATGGAAATGAAACGTCAACAAAAAATTCGTGCCACTTTGACGTCATCTGGCCACAAAACATGGCGGTTTTAGTGCTGCCCAGAAGATTTTAGTGTTAGTAGGTTTTATCTATAAACGTTCTTGGCTCATTTTATTTTAAAAATTGTTGAGTATGAATGTATTTGTAGAATTTATACTTTAATAGGAAGTAAGTATATTGTTACGTGCAAAGATGATGTGATTTAGATATTATGTGAAATCTAAGACGAGTTCGTGCTTCAAATTTGCCAAGTAAACGATATGACGATTTTTAAAATTTGCTACACTGATTTTATAAAGTTGTCGTTTGCCGCAAATCATAAAGATATGGCGTAGTACAGTGCCATCTGCCCATTTCTAGCATGCTGAATGTTGTATTTTGAGTACGTGTTTTTCTTAGACTATTACAATCTATTTTAATTGTTTTGCTGATTCTAAAGTCCGTAACACACTGCCGCAGCGCACCTCAAGGAAGGTGCACCGCACCATTTGAATGATTTGAATTTACAATAGTATTTTACTCACTGCGGAATAAAACTATTTTATTTAAATAGTTCCGAAGAGATTTTGTCGGTAGCCTTTTTCCCGAAATGTCTACACAGAATGTCTAAATATGTTTTGATGACATATTTTAAAGAGGTATTTATGATTAGTGTCATGATCAATAGATTCCGACCGAAAAATGGTGTCCGATTTTTCGGATGAGGTCTCCATAATGAATTTAAATATATATAGATAATAGTTTTGGGGCATCGATTTTCTTGAGATCCTATAAAATATGTTTTAATTATTATTTTTGTATGTTTTAAGCATGATAAAATAAGAAATTTTATATAAGCAATCATATTAAATCGATATCAAAGTCTATAAATAATGTAATACCCAAAACAGACGGTCGAACTGACGTGACAATGACATTTGGTGCGCTAAACATGGCGAATTTTCGGCCTCATTAGCCGGAGACGGAGACATTTACGTATATTCATGTTTCATTTTATGTACGCACTGAAATACTGTTTTAATGTTTTCCTGCGAGTTGAGTAAGAACGAGATAGATATATGTTTATGTGTGTGCCTTCAAAATGGGTGCTATTTATATAAGCAAGTGTACGTATAGAACAATATGTCGTGTCCCTACTATATAGGTCTATGCTCCATACACACGTACGAGACATAGCAAAAAAGTTATTGCGTGTACACTCGGAAGGTTCGCAATTATATTTCGTCGTCTTGACAAAGATGAACGCCGAAGTTGCTGCTACCTGTACGGGGCTACTACGCACAGTAGTGATTTATTATAACAATTTAATTTTTTTTTAAATCATGAGCGTTCTTATGTACACGTGTATGAATACACTTCTTTGGCACTATTCAGTTATCCAACTGAATACAAAATATATTAAATATTCGCAAAATAAATCTTTATGTATTGGTATAAAATTTTGTTCATTAGGAAATTACTTAGTTGAAGATCCCAAAAATATTGAAAAATAATATTTTCAATGAAATAAAGGAATGAGTAAGGTCGGTGCTCGTAACATCGTCACGAGATAAAAATACTTTGATCTTTTTGATGTGAAACATCTATAGCCGCACGTAAAACCGATTTGTGGCGTGGCGACGCATGCCGTGGCGACGAGTCGCCATGCGCAATCGACCGTGCGATTCTCTCCCACTCGATCCGGCGTTAAGCCATCTCTCTCGCTACACTGAGCTCGGATACCTATAGTGTATACTCCGTAGTGTATACAGTGTTGTTTACTACAGTACACATAACCTGTGTTTTACTTGAAAACAAATTATTTTTTCGTAATATTTTATTTTATCATTATGACATATTTAGTTCCTATCACAATCTGATCTTTTCNTGCGATTCTCTCCCACTCGATCCGGCGTTAAGCCATCTCTCTCGCTACACTGAGCTCGGATACCTATAGTGTATACTCCGTAGTGTATACAGTGTTGTTTACTACAGTACACATAACCTGTGTTTTACTTGAAAACAAATTATTTTTTCGTAATATTTTATTTTATCATTATGACATATTTAGTTCCTATCACAATCTGATCTTTTCTGCATATTACTTTTACAAAATAATGTCGACGTTTCACATCTGCCAGGCGTCCCGTGACGGCTCACATTTTTTAATTCCCTAAATGCACTAAATGAAGAACAATTGCAAAAAAAGAAAAATAAAGCTCTGACCTTCCTCGGACTGCTTAGAAATAGCAAGCAAGTTGGTACGCACCTATTGTCGGGGAAGCACACAGAGAAAATAATAAGTCTTAAAATAGGGCGAAAACTTTTTGCTTTGTTTAAAGTTTAGTGGCTTTACGTACAATTTGCGCGGGAGTGTGGAAAGGCCTTAAAGGATTCGCATCGAGGAGGAGGGAATAATTAATTGAAAGATACCTAACAATTAGCATGACAGTATGACTATTATTTCACGCACGTTTATGAAAGACCGTTTAACGTAGAATGTGTGTTTTATCCGACTGTTAAATAAAAATAAACATCTTCGAGTGCATCCGTCTATGTAAATGTGTCTATTTCTTATGCACGCTCTATGATTACGCCTTTTGACGTATTTTAAAATATTGTGAGATATCATGTGATTCGTCTCAGCTGTGCGAGTGACGTGGTTAAATTATTTATTTTATGTTCGCGAAAAAAAAAGATGAAGAATAAGTTCCATAACGCACGTTTGGTTGGAGGACCTAGCCCGAAAAAAGTAACAATGAAAAACCGACATCTTTTTGCAATGATTTGTGAGGCTTTTTCCAATTACCTTTCCTATTAACTGAATTTTTTTTTATCGTTTCAGCTTGTCGTTAATTTTGAGAATATTTTATTTATATTTATTAACTAATAAAATAGAGATATATTTTTTCTTTTTCTTCTAGAGAGAGATATTGCAAAGGAATTTGGTTTCATTATATGTGTGTTTTTTTATTTATTGCTTAGATGGGTGGACGAGCTCACAGCCTACCTGGTGTTAAGCGGTTACTGGAGCCCATAGACATCTATGACGTAAATGCGCCACCCACCTTGAGATATACGTTCTAAAGTCTCAGTATAGTTGCGACGGCTGCCCCACCCATCAAACTGAAACGCATTACCGCTTCACGGCAGAAATAGGCAAGGTGGTGGTACCTACTCGTGCGGACTCACAAAATATCCTATCACCAGTAAAAAAGCTTAAGACACCTCTCACTTAATATTCGTCGTATTCTATAATATAGATCTTTTGTCTTATTTATTACCATCATTCAACCTATTTCTGCCGTGAAGCAGTAATGCATTTCGATTAGACAGCTGTTGTACTATAAGACTGAGTCAGAGCTCATGTCTCAAAATGGGCGGCGGCGTTTACGTTGTTGTAGACTATGGGCTTCGGTAATCACTTAACACCAGGTGGGTACTGAGTTCGTCCACTCATCTAAGCAATAAGAAATATATGTAATGAATTAACTGAAAATGTGAAAGAAACTTAGAAATGAAACATGAATTGTTCCCGCCTGGCATATCTGTATTCTTAGTGCGAGTTTTTTAACGTTCTCGATAGCGTAAAAGTTAACTCTAATTTGTTTTCAGTTGGAACAGCGCCCCTAGCGGTAAACATAGGCAAACGTTCCAACTGCATACAAATTTGAGTTCACTTTGACGCTATCGAGAACGTTAAATAACTCGCACTAAGTACACTTTAATAGCACAGCTGCCTTTGTATTTTTTAATTAGTATTTTTTAATGAACTTTGGTTTTTATTTTATGGAATAATTTATGTTTCCGTGCACGGAAATAAGACCTAATCATTTTCTTAGTAAAATCTAAGAAAAGCCTAATTAAATGAGTGAATGTAGATCTTATTCGAGTACTAGGTATATGACATAAACAATTTTATTTCCTAAGATAGCTGTGCTCTCCTTAGCTAATTACATGAAAATTATATCATATTATATCGGCATCAATACGTTTAAAAAACTTTGGTTTTGGTCTGGTTTAATTTATTATAATTAATTTAATTATTATAAATAAAATCATAAAGTAATTTCTTACCTTCTAAAATAATTAAAAGAAAAAGACGGTAAAAATTATTTACTCCAGCTAACTGTCAGTGTCCTTCTTTCCAACTGGAAAGGCAAAGGTATCATGCCATACGGCCTAATATTAAAGGTTAAGGAACGAAATGAGATGGGATGAGATGAAATATAGTCTCAGTAAAATGGTGGTTATTTACGTGGTTATTTATTATGACACTTTCAGTGGATTTTTCTCAAAATCCAGAGAAGCTACGTCAAGCGTAGCGACAGCTTAGTTTTTTGTAGTAAAATGACGAAGTCATCTTGGTTTTACAAAAACTCTAATACAATTCAGACCTGTATGTATTTCAAGGTAAATAAAAGGACCCCATCATCGACTTCCATGTTTGGTCGCAGTCAGGCGTGGGTAATCGGTAATTTTGCAAAATGATTATTTATTAAGTTCATATAAGTTTATTGGTTAGTCCTAAAGTGAGTTATTTTTGAATAACGTGTTTTTATATTCAACAAGTTTAATTTAATGAAGTTTAAATTAAAGTAAATGATTTGGATTTCAATGTAGGCTTAAAATCTAGGAATAATCAATGATATATAGAATTAGTGACCTTACTGTTTCTAGTATAGCGGTATGTCACGCGGCTATGTAGGGTCAGAAAGATCATATACTATTTCCACTATTTTACTTAATATTTTTTTTAAATTTTGGATTAAAACCCATTATTTCCATAATTTTTATGGTGATTTATTTGGATTCAGAATAAAAATATATTTATAAAAATTTATTTTAAAACCCTTAGCAAGTATTTTAGTACACATTTTAAACCGAAAGTAACGAACGGGCTATTCAGGACTAATTTGAATATCGATTCTTAAATATAAAAGTCGATTGCATCGGTAGTCTGTGGCTAGCGTAGCTGCACAGCACTGACAGCAGTGACAGCACAGCCTTTCTTAAGTTTGTGTTTGAACATGGCGGTCGGGAAAAATAAAGGCCTGTCGAAGGGCGGTAAAAAAGGTGTTAAGAAGAAGATGTAAGTATGTAATAAACTGCCTGTTTTGTTATTTATTAAACGACTCATCATAATAATATATTTTAACTCATTTGATTACCGTGATTACATTAATAATTATGGATAAAAGTCGACGGTCTCGTGTATTGTTTCTCGTAAATTTTACAAAATCAAATTAAAGTTGTGTTAAACCCACTGTGAATTGCTTGCGAATAACTTCGAAATTAGTACAATATGGCTTAAAGAAATCAGTTTCTGTGAAATTTTTCGGAATTGAGGTTATGATAGTAACTCCAGCGTTTGCATTTCAGTGTCGACCCATTCACTCGCAAAGATTGGTACGATGTCAAGGCCCCGTCTATGTTCAGCAAGAGGCAAGTCGGCACCACGCTTGTCAACCGTACCCAGGTAATAACCTATTCCTTATAAACCATTTGAGGTCCTGAGTTCACACGTATTGGATATGTAATCGTACATTGAGTCTTTGGACCGCAAAGGCATAATGGACACGTTACTTTATTTCGAAAAATATTAAATAAACAGTCATGATTGTCTTGCTCCTAATACATAAAAAACATGAGCAGAGGTAGAGTAGTTACAAACATGCTATTAACAAAATATAGAATTGCTAACGCTTCATTGAAAGTATAAGTTAATGTAACTTATAATGCATGTATCTATTTAAAATAATGATACGCATGTGCTTAATTTTGTATTGAAAACTCTTAGTCCTATACGAATAACACGAACACTATACTGGATTCCATCCAATGGTTTTTTTTTATTGCTTAGATGGGTGGACGAGCTCGCAGCCCACCTGATGTTAAGTGGTTACTGGATATCTACAACGTAAATGCGCCATCCACCTTGAGATATAATTTCTAGTCTCAGTATAGTTACAAAGGCTGCCCCACCCTTCAAACCAAAACGCATTAGTGCTTCACGGCAGAAACAGGCAGGGCGGTGGTACCTATCCGTGCGGACTCACAATAGGTCCTACCACTAGTCAAAAGGCATGAGCTCGGATGATATAGCTATGCCATTACCTAGCCCTCATTATCTCAAGGAGGGTAGCAGAGTCAGCGCATAGTATTTTATTCCGTGTTTGCAGGTCGAATATAGCATTAAAACTACTTTTATAGCTAAAAACTCCCGAACAAAAACACTGACGTTTCGATTACTTTAATTTTTGAATCTTGAGATATTTGATACCATCTTGGAAATTATGAAAATATGCTTGAGGTTAAACTATAAAAAGTGAATAATAAAAAGTGAAATAAGAAATAATGTATTTGTTGTAAAAGTAAAAGCACACTGGTACAAGCTGCCTGAAATATAAAAGAAATTTTAATTATCAATTTGTGTTCTCAGTAAAATTGTTCTAAATGATGATCCACCTAGCTCGCAATGAAACAGATGTGATGAAAACTCCTGTTCCCTTTTGATTTACCAACTGAACCATTTATATCGCAGAAATAAATCGAATGTCACCCAAACCAGAATGTAAACCGTGTGTAATTTGTTTTAAGGGAACGAAAATTGCTTCGGAAGGATTGAAGGGAAGAGTTTTCGAAGTTTCCCTGGCTGATCTACAAGCTGACACTGACGCGGAAAGGTAAATTATTTTATGAAAATTTCAAATTTGATTTCCTTACAGCATATAATAAACTTGATTTAACTAAGAAGGATTTTGCCAAACATAAATTGGTTTACTATGGTAATAATCTTTGTTGTTGATTACTGCAGTCCAGCTATATGAAGGTAGCCACATGGTCTTTGTATCGTTTCAAACTGCAAATATGAATGCTACTGACAATATAATTGGCTTTAATATTTGTCTGTATTGGGGCTTATATTTGTTGTAGCAACATTTTGTTCATTGAATTTAGGATTTGTAGGACTTTCCCGGTTGCTGAAGTCTTTGCATTTCATTTTGGGTTTCTAAACTAATGAGAATTAGATGACTATCTGGATCAATATAGAGTGGTGTAAGTTTGGTTTAAATGACATTTAGCTTACTACACAACATTTATTTTTGTAATTAAAGGTGCGTTTTATTTGATATTAGCATCAACAGTTTGGTGTTTTTAAATGAACTTCAGTTGAGTTTACTCCATTCAAATAGCTGAGGTTTTTTTGTTATATTTTTCCAAATTTCAAACTTTCAATGTCTCTTCTGGTAAAGTTGCAAAAATGTTGCTTAAACGAACCTTTCACCTCTCTATATTTTTATAGGCTCATCTTGAAGCACAAAATTGTACCATGATGAATTTTAGTAAAGTCCCCCTCTTCCAACAGGTCTTTCCGCAAATTCAGATTAATCGCCGAAGATGTGCAAGGACGTAATGTACTCTGCAACTTCCACGGCATGGACCTCACAACTGATAAGCTCAGGTAATTTTAATGTTTAAGATCTAGTTTCTAACCTATATTCCTACTATTACCCTATATGTTAGCATGTGCATACACATCAGGTAATTTATTCAAGTATTCTGAAGTTTATGCATCAGTTGGTTTTTTAACGAAAGTGGTGTAGATGCAGAAATATGTCTAGAATTGACTTTATCAAGTTTGCACACTCAATTGAGTTTTCACAACCTAAATTTGGTTTTGTGCGAGGGTCGGTCTCTGGGGAAGCAGGGCGGGAGTGATGTTCACTCCCCGTGAAATGACTGGTCTAATGCTGGGCCGGCAGGTACACCTCCCCTTCAATCAATTATTAGATTGGTAGAAAGTGCAGAAGTGGTAGATTACATTGCAGTCCAGCTATATGAAGGTAGCCTTGATGGTCTTTGTATCGTTTCAAACTGCAAATATCAATGCTTCTGACATCACAATGGTTTTGGTAACACTATTTATCAGGGCTTTGTATTGTTGTTGCAACATGCTTTAGTTAAAATTTCATTACCACCAAACATTAATTACATAAACATTAATTAACTTAATTTTTACTGGTGGTAGGACCTCTTGTGAGTCCGTACAGGTAAGTACCACCGCCCTGCCTATTTCTGCCGTGAAGCAGTAATAAGTTTCGGTTTGAAGGGTGGGACAACCATTGTAACCCGACTTCAGAACTTATATCTCAAAATGGGTGGCAGCATTTACGTTGTAGATGTCTATGGGCTCCAGTAACCACTTAACACTAGGTGGGCTATGAGCTCGTTCATCCACCTGAGCAAAAAAAAAAAACTTTAGTAACCTTGTTTATATGTTTATAAACAAGGTTTTAATTTACAATCAGAGTTGATAACTTACAAATTGTACTAAAGTAGGGACTTAATAATTAAAAAAAAAAACAATGCTCTAATCAGTAATATCTTCTTTAGGTGGATGGTTAAAAAATGGCAGACTCTCATCGAAGCCAACATTGATGTGAAGACAACCGATGGATACGTTCTACGTGTCTTCTGCATTGGTTTCACCAATAAGGACTCCTTGAGCCAACGCAAGACGTGCTACGCCCAGCACACTCAGGTACTTATAATTTCTAAATAATATATTTCTAACCATACTGGGCCTCTGAAGATGAATTTTTATCATAAATTAAATTCTGGATAAAATTGAAGAATGATGCAATTATATTTATGAAAATATTAAATACTAGCGACCCGCCCTCGCTTCGCTTCGGAAACAGTAAAACACACATGAAAACAAAACAAAAAAAAAAAAATTAAAAAAATTAGCCTATGTTCATCAGGGACAGTGTCGGCTTCTAATGGAAAAAGAATTTTTCAAATCGATCCAGTAGTTTCGGAGCCTATTCGAAACAAACAAACAAACAAATCTTTCCTCTTTATAATATTAGTATAGATGCTTTCTTTACAATGTTCTAATTATAAATAAAAACACTATAAATTTTCCAGAAAAACGCCAAAAAAGCATTCTAAGGTCCCCCAGGATATATTAAGCATTCTAAATGTGGTCTTCATTCACATAAAGAACCTTCTTAATGAACTTCTTGTACAAAACTGTTAATGAAAATTGGTAATTTAGTTAAAATGATGATGATGATGACAATACTAAAAAAATAATGGGTAAAGAAAGACCTAAACATAATGAAATTGCTTGTATGAAGTTGAGGAAGTTTTAAAAGGGTGCTAGTAGTACAATGTATATTATCGCAGTTATAAATTTGGTAAAGAGTGGAGAATAGCGATGGGCCCATCGCGACATTGTCTCCTTGCTTTATTTTAATCACTACGTATATTAATAACATCGACATGGACACGGCTTTTGTCTATCTTACAATGGCTTTTTGTGGTGGTGCAACAAACCAAAATACGACGATTAAACTTTTCACTGGAGTTCGTGGTGGCTTGCATAGTTTTTGGTACTTACTGGATCCCTACTTGTGAGACGAGCTAGAAGTTTTTTTACATTGGAATAAATTGCTTTCACCAAAAGAAAATGCCTGATTGATTGGAGACATAAGAATAGTTATTGTCTTTACTGTCACAATCTAGTAAAACTCAATTGAACCCTTCCTTTAACCATAGTCAATGACAATATAAAAGGAACATTCAATAGATATGTTCTAACAAAATAGTATTTTTTATTGCCTATATAGTATAACTCATAGGTTTTACAACAAATAGAATTTTCAAAATGAATCTTTTGTCATTTTATAGGTCAGAGCAATCAGAAAGAAAATGTGTGAAATCATTACACGCGACGTCACTAACTCTGAACTCAGGGAGGTGGTGAACAAGTTGATTCCTGACTCCATTGCCAAGGACATCGAGAAGGCCTGCCACGGCATCTACCCTCTGCGCGATGTTTGCATCCGAAAGGTATGAGATAGGCATTTATAGATAAACGGATACTGAATATTTTAATGCCAAATTGCTGGTATAAGGTAATAAAATTAATGCCCTGGTTATATGAAAATTTTTCATAATTCTGTTGGTATAATAATAAATGTATATACTATTTGTGTATATAGATGATATTTATAAAATATCCAAGATTTGTTCACACAAAACCTGCCTCTACTGCAAATGATGATACACCTAGCTCGCAATGACAACTTACATGATGATAATTCATGTTCCCTTTTTATATATTTTTCTGAGAACTATAAAAAAATATAGTGTTGGTCCTCTTAAATTGATTTCAATATTAAAGCATTGGATTTGTTGTAGGTGAAAGTGTTGAAGAGGCCCCGTTTCGAGATCTCGAAGTTGATGGAACTTCACGGCGAAGGCGGTGGAGGCAAGCGGGAAGCCGGAGACAAGTCTGAACGGCCGGAGGGCTACGAGCCTCCCGTTCAAGAGAGTGTTTAATTAAATAATGAAAACAATGGAGTTTGCGTTTTATTTGGTTACAAAAACAAACCGAGCTAGATTAATGTCTGTTTTTGGGTGATCTATCTAAAATCTAGATTGTAGTCTGTTTAAGAACAACATTTATTTAATAGGCAGAGATAGAGAAGTCGTCCTAAAAGATAGACGCTCGGTGCATAAGTATCTAGCGATGCACTGGTGTTCGAAACCCGCAGGAGGGTACCAATTTTTCTAATGAAATACGTAGGTACCTACTTAACAAGTGTTCACGATTGACTTCCACGGTGAAGGCATAACGTCGTGTAATGTCAAACTCTCAAAATTATAATTTACACAATTACTGGTGGTATGACCTCTTGTGAGTCCGCGCGGGTAGGTACCACCGCCCCGACCATGTCTGCCGTAAAGCAGTAGGTATGTACCTAATGCGTTTCGGTTTGAAGGGTGGAGCAGCCGTGGTAATTAGACCTTAGAACTCTTATCTCACGGTAGGTGGCGGCGGCATTTGCGTTGTAGATGTCTATAGGCTCCGGTAACCACTTAACACCAGGTTGGCCGTGTGCTCGTCCAGCCATGTAAGCAACAAAAAAAAAATTAAGCAGTTTTTATTATTTTGTAATGTTGTTTGTATTTGATATTTGGCTGTCTTTTGTCTTAAATAACGATAACATCAGTAAATTCGTTACATATTTGGGGCCGTTTAATTAATAAAATTTGTTGTTAATCATTTATTGTGAAAATCATCTGAAATAAACTACATATACTTAAAATAAGGACAAGAACGCGAACTGAATTACTTCTTTGGAGATTCATGTTTTTATTTGTCAAATTATTTATAAATAATAAAATTATTACAAACCTACACTTATTTATTTAAAATGCCTTAAAATTTAATTGGAAAATGCAACAAAATTATATTATCACAAAACATTTAAAAATTACGTACTAATTGCACTTATATAATTAGGTATATCCCGAAGACATATGTATGAATATATCAAACAAATTTAATCTTTATTAAAATAATTTACATTATATTCCTTTGCATTCATGCATTTCAATCAAGAAAGACATTAAGTAACTCTTATATTAATTACCTAAAAAACTCATTAAAACTATAGAACAAAACAGTGTCGAAAATATTTTACTAAATTTATCTATTAATAATAACTTTCTATGATACTTAATTACGTAATTGTTTTAAATATTATAAATTCATTGTCGAATGTGTATAGATTTTTGTTGGAGCAGAAGAACGTTGAAATTAAGAGTGTAAAGGTAAGGAGGACACAGGATGTCATTTGAAATATTGCGTCAAAACTTTAATTGAAGAAATGAGTGGATGAATGGGATATCCCCTTCATCCACTCATGACTTCATGTAATTTTTCAATTCAGCACATTTCAGTCATTTTAAACTACAATATTCGTATCGTTCTACTGTATTGTATGCTAGGTCTTATAATAGGTTTTTGAGTTCTTACTGCCGAACACTTTTTCAAGAGTTCTCCTTGCACTCCATAAGAACGAAGAAACTTATCATTAGGCACTAGCGCAAGTTTACGATATATTCGAATCATATCCCTTTTCAAATCTTTGTCACGCGATTCGACTTATCACTATGATATTATATTCATTAAATAATATTTGTTAAACATTTGTGCCTTATGTGCTGATGATTAATTAAGCTAGAATGTATGGCCTCGTAGCCCTGGGTGGAAAATAAATAAACAAAAAATCTGATGATAAATTTTAGCGGGAATATAAACAGTGATGGCTGGTTAAAATAAATTTTGTAAATTTCGCATGCGTCAGGTATTGAATTATAAACCGTATATTATTTGTGAAAGAAATCTGTGATTGATAATATTGCGGGACATCGCTTCACATATACCTCCAAAAAGTACATTAAAATAGTTTTTTTGGGATTTTATAACCTGGTAACTAAGACCTTTAGGTCAAGTCTTATTTTAATTTATATTCTTATTTTTTATGAAAAATGATAATATGGAGTGAAATGAAATGAAGATGATTAGTTTGAGACATTAATCAACTGAGATGAAATGAAATGAAATGAGATGAGATGATATGGGAAGAAATATAATGATGGTCATTTATTGAGACTTTTTCAGTGGACTTTTTGTGGGATCTCTAGAAGTTACGTCCAGCGGCTTTGTTTCGTTTTCCCACATTTGTGCACTTTCACAGATATACTAAGCAGTTAATAAACCACCGCTATTACACATTTAAGCCTGAAGAAACACTAAATAGAGAAAATAAAACAAAACACACAACTTCACTCCCCGCGTTCCCGCCAAAAAGTCTCCTTAAAATGGTTTACATTCAACTACTTTACAGAGTTTCCTAATAATTATAAAAATAGCTAAATTAAGAGTTATCCGTGTGCTTATTGCGAGTTTTTTAACGGATTCGATAGAGTAAAAGTTAACTCAAATTTGTATGCAGTCGGAACAACGGCCGTAACGGCAAGCGTAGGCAAAGGTTCCAACTCCATACAAATTTGAGTTAACTTTTACGATATCGAGACCGTTAAAAACTCGCACTATGCAAACTGGTATTTCGCTCACGGCAGAACTTTTTCTTTAATTTTTTTAAACAAAAATTTGTTCTAACCTTACACACGCAGACGATAAAGATATCACAATGTAAATATCGTCTTGATACAGCAGGATATCAACAAAATTAATTGTATTAAAACGACTGTCCCACCCTTTAAACGCATGTCTTTTGTGGTGAATATAGTTTGCCCACCGTATATTCTGGTTACTGTTCCCATACAAGCATCTGTTAAGTTAACACTAATCGTATATTTTTGCGGTGTGGTAATTGAGTGTGGACTGTATTCATTGTTTTGAGATATTTATTGTACCTATAAATGACAAATTAAAGACTTAATTTAGGAGAAATATAAAATTGATGCGTTGCTCTGGGCGGCTAGATTTGAAAAAGAAATTGGTGTCATGGCGGACGTCACTCGCTGACATTTTCACGTTCAGAAACTGAATTTTATGTAGTTTCTAATGTTATAATTCGAAGAACATGTTTTAAATATTATATTAAACGAAAAAATATGAATATGCCACCTTGAGAAATAAAATTAAATAAAAATCAAACAGAAATGAGGAGATCCGTAGATGAATCAAATTTGCTGACATAGCCCGTAGGATTAGGTACTAGGCTGAACTGTAAGTGGGCAGGCCTCATAGCGCGAAGATCGGACGGCCGGTAGGACAGAAAGATTCATGAGTGGAGACCACGTACTGGCAATGGCAGTGTGGGATGGCCAATTACCAGATAGACTGACGAAGTAGTGTCAATCGCTGGGTCTTTTGAAGTCAATGTTTTTATTATAACTTTTAAACGTGCTTTTTATTACGTCATTAATTGAATATTTTTTTAATTATACTTTGTGAATGGCCTTAATTCATTCTGTTAAAAAGTATTTAGAAGTTAATCCGCGTTATCTGCCTTCAACGAGCCACGGAAACCTGAAAATTCTGCACACAACTAAACGCAATCCAACTTGAAGCTACATACTAAACAAAACAGTCCGTCATTCTTATAAATTAATGGTAAATATTCCTGTGTTGTTCCATTTTTAAGTAATTCCATCTTCAATTCAAAAGTTTTCTCCCGTATAAAGCGCATAGTATAAATGCAGACGCTACCACAGTTCAAGAGCTATCTTGGTTCTTTGTTATTTCTGCGGGCGTTTTTTTGAGGGTGACGCAAGGCTTCTTTCTTCTACCCACGATAGTCAGGCACAGACATAGGCTAGATATTATTAATGTCAGTATACAGATGACGGATAGACCGAGCTGGGCCGCCGCAGTCGAGAAAGTTCCGTGGTAGACCAACGCTTGCAGACTCTCGGGGAGTTCATCGACGCCCTGGAGAAGACAAGCGTTTTTAGTACATTTTTACTGGTGGTAGGGCCTCTTGTGGGTCCGCACGGGTAGGTACCACCACTCTGCCTGTTTCTGCCGTGAAGCAGTAATGCGTTTCGGTTTGAAGTGAGGGGCAGCCGTTCTAACTATACTGAGACCTTAGAACTTATATCTCAAGGTGGGCGGCGGTATTTACGTTGTAGGCTCCGGTAACCACTTAACACCAGGTGGGCTGTGAGCTCCTCCACCCATCTAAGCAATAAAAAAACAAAAATCGATAACAACAACTGCGAAGACAAAGTGCAGTGGAATTTTAAGACCTAAAGTCGGTATGCGTCATCATAGAAAAATCTTTCACATTTGCGCTTAGATTTTAAGAATAGTTCGTAACTGTATTACCATTTCGATCCAAGCGATGGGCAGTATAAGTCCTTGATCCAGGAAGTGTAAATTGGAGAAATAGTTCGTCTTCCTCACTTGGATGTTCAGTTGAAGACTGAAAGTACAGGATAAAGGATATTAAACATAGGAAAATAAAATATTACGCCGGACTTTAGAAGTAATTGTTTTAGTCATTCAGCTCAGAACCTACGTGTTCTTGCTTAGTTTCATGAAAGAGCTCACAGCCCACCTGGTGTTAAGTGGTTACTGGAGCTCATAGACATTTACAACGTAAATGCACCACCCACCTTGAGATATAAGTTCTAAGGTCTCAGTATAGTTACAACGGCTGCCCCACCCTTTAAGCCGAAACGCATTACTGCTTCACGGCAGAAATAGGCGGGGTGGTGGTACCTACCTGTGCGGACTCACAGGAGGTCATACCACCAGTAAAAAATTCGTGATAATATTTGAAGAATCGCTGAAATTTACGTAAACTTGACACAGAGAGTGGATATATCTTTTTGGAAGCTTTAGAATGGAAGTGTGTCTAACGAGAAGACGGTGTATGTACCAAACAATTCCTGGTACATGAGACATATCGCACACGAAGAAGGACAAGTGGACTTACTATTTAAGGGTAATAATTAACTTTTTGCAATCTGGAATCAAACTGGCACACGTGGTATCACAGATCACTCAGCACTAGACCAAATAAACCAATTTTACTGGTGGTAGGACGTCTTGTGAGTCCACACGGGTAGGTATCACCACCCTGCCCATTTCTGCCTTGAAGCAGTAACGCGTTCCGGTTTGAACAGTGTGGCTGCACTGTAAAACTGAGACTTAGAACTTATATCTCAATGTTTGTGGCGGTAATTGCGTTGTTGATGTCTAAGGACTCCAGTAACCACTTTAACCCGGTTAAGTAATAAAAAATGACCTAATTAACCGAAGTGTTGTTGATCAGATACCATACACTTCGAGGTTTTACCTGCTTTTCCCTTTCAGTGCAATGCCAAGTGTTGGGTGTATGTCCAGATAGCTGATATGTTTCAATGGATCTGGATGGAGACCACTGATCCGGTCTAACAGGAAAGGGTCTCCTAGGTTGAAGTGAGGAAATGACACCAACGCTGGAGCTCCTGTGGGAGAGAACGGAGATACATTGTAGAAGTTACACTTTTTCCAGTAGAAGGTTGCAGTAGGATTAATCAAAATGGCGATTTCGTGTATCAGACATTCTACATTCTTCATACGTATATATTATAGAATACGAACATATGCGGCTTGTGTATACCCCTGGCATTGCTGATGTCCACAAGCCACGGGGATTTCTTACCATCAGATGATTCGAGTGCTTGTTTGCTTAAAATGTCAATGCATATACATAGGAGCCAACAAAGCCGTTTGTTACGCCATTGTTTTACCGAACTGGGAATGGAAAGAATTGAACCCCATTTCAGATTTTTTTTCTCTGCCTATTCGCTGGTAGCCTAAGCGGCTATTATAGCTACGCGCGGGTAGGTGGGCTCACGGGCTAGACCTGAGAGAATTTGCTAACACCAGCCCTAGCAAGAGCAGGGTTTCGCTGAATCTACCACCTGGTCGCAATCACGACTCATTAACCCTTTGACCGCCGTGTAGGTGTGCGTGTAGGTCACCGGTGCCCTACTCGGCGCACCAAAGTAATTATGTAAATTTCTGTTACTATGTATGTTTGTAACAGAATCTTTGAATATGATTTTGACCCCCTTCAAAACGTCGGATTAACTGGTTTTTTTTTTTTTCGATATTCTTATTAAGGACCGAAGAATTCAATATTAAAAAAAATTAAAAAAAAATTGATATTCAACTAAAATGTGAATAATAAATAATAGTTTAAAAAAACTACCAAAATACGCTTTTATAGAAAATCCGACTAAAAAAAATTTACAAAAAAATTTTGTTGTATAAAAGCGTGGGGTGCTTTTCAGGATATTATCAAAATAACCCTTCTACTCAGATCTGTTCATAAAATATTTAGGTATAACTACTGTTACGCTTTTTTACAATAAAATCATTTTTTCTTATACTATTTTTAATACAAATTTATAAAAAAAAAATATTTTTCTATATTTTAGTTGAATTTTCTATAAAAGTGTATTTTGTTAGTTTTTTTGAACTATTATTTATAATGAGTAAGTACAAGCTTACCCATAGTACAGTCGGTAACGTTTATGACTCCTTTCGGGGGGCACGTCGCTGTATCGATCTCACAGTAGCACTGGTTGGCCGGATTGTGTTTGGCGTCATCGAAAACATTCACCGGCATCTTGTAGCGTAATAATTTAACGCCATACGTCTGAAAACAGCAGATATGTAACTATACTGAGACCTTAGAACTTATATCTCAAGGTGCGTGGCGCATTTACGTTGAAGATGTCTATGGGTTCCAGTAACCACTTATCACCAGGTGGGCTGTGAGCTCGTCCACTCATCTAAGCAATAAAAAAATAAATATAGCATTTAGCGTTTAAAATGCTTAAAGCGGTTAACGAATAAAACGTTATATTAATTAAGCTGTGGAACGCTTTTTTTGCTCATAGACATTAGTTTAATTTCGCTTTTTTTGATAATGTTACTGGATACAGTGCATAATGTTTTTATTGTTGCTGTTTTTATTATTGTTGTTGTATTGTTTATTCTTCTATAATTCGATGGACGATCTTAGAAGTCGCCCTGCGTTTCAGTGTATTCGACAGCATGTAATTTACTCATCTATCTTAGCGTGCTTTTATTTTTAAATTTATTAGCGATAGGTCGTATTGAGGGATCGCATTGTTAGGCACAATATCCCTAAATCTATCACGCAACAGTTTGAACGATCCTTCAGCGGTTTCACTATAGAAAATCACGTTGGCTGATGTCTATGAGTTCCGGTGAGCATTTAACACGCAGGCAGACCACGACTTAGTTCATCCGGCTAAGTTATAAAAAGAAAAGATATTGTCGGCAAATATAGTCTAGAAATGAAGCAATCGGAATGGTTCGATTGGTAACTCTTGACAATTGTCTTATCAATCTTGTTCTGAGGAGTTTAGCTGCAATCATGTTTGTCTATGGACTCTAGTGAGCTCTATGATGGTTCTATGAGGTTATCCGGTAGTCATCTCTAGTCAAAAATGAAAATAGGGCCAAATAAGACCAAAGTCATCCAAGTCAGACCCAATCAGACCAAGTCAAATCAAATTCGGTGTAGTTCCTAAAAGAAATTTACCTCAACTTCCTTCTCAAATCTGAACGGCAATCGTCGGCAAAGTTGAGGATAAAATACGTATAGAGTCTTATTCTTGTCCAGTTGCGACGGAGGGAAGATAGAGCCGTCTGTCGCTTCTAAGCTGGAAAGAGATATTCAAAGTGAGTTAGCATCATCATTCTCCTGCCTTTCTCCCAGTCACCTGGGATCGGCGCAACATGTTTTCTTCTTCCATACTCCTCTATAACTGCTGGTAGGACCTCTTGTGAGTCCGCACGGGTAGGTACCACCACCCCGCCTATTTCTGCCGTGAAGCAGTAATGCGTTTCGGTTTGAAGAGCGGGGCAGCTGTTGTAACTATACTGAGACCTTAGAACTTATATCTCAAGGTGGGTGGCGCACTTACGTTGTAGATGTCTATGGGCCCCCAGTGACCACTTAACATTAGGTGGGTTGTGAGCGAGTTCACACATCTAAGCTATAAAAAAAAACATATACCATTTCTTCACTCGTAAGTTAGCATAACAGTAGCTTATTTATTGTAGAAAAAAGTATTGCCATTCTGTCTCTGTTGTAAGGAAATGATGGGCGGGTCGTTGATTGGTCTAAAAATTATTGGTTTTTAAGGTAGTCATTACGCAAATTATAATTTTGCGGATTTGATTTTTATTACACGATGATTCCTTCACCTTGAACAGTTGTTAACTACGTTTCAAATCAAAGATTTCAAAATTCGTTGATTGTAAATGAGCATTTGGCTTAAAACACAAGTATCCGGTCACGGAATGAATTAAAAAAATAATAATCACTTAGCGTCACGATAGCACATCATTCGGAACCCAGTTTATCTAGAGCGGAAATACTTTTTGTGAACTATTAACATTGTATGGTCATGGGCGCTTATTTTAAACACGAAAATGTGAATTAATTTGTGATTTTTTTTTCTTTTTTACTGTGTTATTAGCTTAGATATTAAGGCTGTTCATTTTTGGCGGTAATACAGATGTTGTTCGAACTTATTGGTGTTTGTCTTGACTTTTTTTTTTGCGTGCAAAATTAAAAGTATTATTCAAGAATTTCGCGCGCATTTTGTTGAAATTATCGAGTTGAAGTGTAGTCTTACAAGTGCGAAGCGTCGGAAAAAAAACCGCAATCGATTCCTAGCCCCAAAGAAATTTAACATTTCAATATAATGTATTGTGATATAACTAACATATACAGTTTATGTGTGTGACATGATTATAATCTGTAGAAACGTCTGCAATACTGGGCAATCAAAGTTAGATAGTGTTCTAGTGTTTTGTCATATCATTTTTCGATTGACATTTTTGACATGATAACCTCTTATAAGCACCGGCTGCACGCACGAGAAAGTGTCACGTTCCGCTTGAGCGTGCAAGCGAGAGCGCGGAACAAGCGATAGAGAGGCACGATCGGCCCAAGCGTTGGCTTGTGACACATTTATCTGTCTTCTCGCGTGACGTCAGAGATTACAGTTCGAATAGTTCTGCTACTGACGTTATCACGTAAAACTATCGTCCGTAAACCGATTTTAAAGACAACCTATTTTTTTTATTCTCACACTAAGTAGATGCGGCTCCACCTTAATGATTAGTACTATTTTTCCTACCTAAGCTGATGGCCTTGAGAGACAATTTCAGCGTAACCTTAACTAGTAGGTGAGCTCACGGGGCTCAAACCTGACAACGTCGCTAACATTAACCCTAGTAAGAGTAGTGCTTCGCAGAATCTACCATCGGATCGGAAACGCGACCCACTGAGAAGATCTGTCGAGAAACTCAATGGGCTGTGTCTTTGGGTTAATTTACTCGCCGAGCCCTTCGTCGCAAGTGACGGGTTCGACGAGAAGGTCAGTGCTCACAATTACTCAAGAACGTCAGCAATGCTCAAGGCACAGTCAAGTCGCTGCCTTGAAACAAGTACTTCGCGTAGAATCGTGTCTTAATTTGTCACGTGTCTTTCGCATTAATGTCAAACGTTACAAAGCATTGTATTCTTTAGAGGCCTATTCAAAATCTCAGCATGTTTTAGCCAAACAATTAATTGTTCAAATCATTACGACTTTCAAGCCAATGGAATTAAAATATATAATATGTGTAATATATAGATATAAATACCACAGCTTTATCTATAGAGATAAACTATTGACATCTTACACACTGCGACTGTGTTAATGAAATCAAAATGAATCTGTACTGAATTAAAATCTTTTTGTATGGTTGAAACGGTTGAAGCGTTGTCCAAACGCTCGCATTGCTGACGTCCATGGGCGACGGTAACCACTCACCATCTGGTGGGCAGTACGCTCGTTTGCCTATAAGGGCGATATCAAAAAAATGCTACATAGTTCTGTAAGGTCCTGGGAAAACGTAAACAGAATTCCACGGTATTGGTAATACATAATTTTTTTTTATGTTTTATTTTTTTTATTGCTTAGATGAGTGGACGAGCTCACAGCCCACCTGGTGTTAAGTGGTTACTGGAGCCCATTGACATATACAACGTAAAAGCGCCACCCACCCTGAGATATAAGTTCTAATGTCTCAAGTATAGTTACAACGGATACCCACCCTTCAAATCGAAACGCGGCAGAAATAGGCAGGGTGGTGGTACCTACCCGCGCGGACTCTCAAGAGGTCCTACCACCAGTAATGTAATTTCATGACAAATCTGAGATATCAAGGCTGGTGAAGGATAAAATGTAGCGTCAATAGCAGCTTCCGATGAGCTTTAGTACTTTTAATGTAGTTAAGCTATCGTATCGTACTAATATGGTTCTAATCAATGGTTTCCGGGACTACGGGACCTCGCGACCTGGAGAAATGACGTTGTCTGTTTTGTTGATGCGGAAAACGGTCGCTTTTGATAGTAAATAGTGACTGCGTTGTGGTAGGGGGTAGTCCACCGCTGCGGCCCACGAACCACCACCCCGCCAGGAAGTACAGGTGTGGTGAGCATCGAATTAAATAAAAATTAATTGTACAGAAATCGCGTAATAAGCTAGAAAGATAGTCGTCAATCAAATCTTTATAGCTAGGCCATATTCCGTGAGCCCGCAATGTAACGAGAATGTCCGAGTTGATTTTAAATTATATTATATTACATTACGTAGTATACGAAAAACGTCAAAAAAAAACCAAGCTTATTCTGTATTTGGGATAAATTCGTTGGAAGTCGTCGTGGCCTAAAGGATAAGACGACCGGTGCATTCGTATCTAGCGATGCACTGGTGTTCGAATCCCGCAGGCAGTGTTACCAATTATTCTAACGAAATACGTATTTGACAAATGTTCACAAATTGACTTCCACGGTGAAGGAATAACATCGTGTAATAAAAATGAAACCCGCAAAATTATAATTTACGTAATGACTGGTGGTAGGACGTCTTGTGAGTCCGCACGGGTAGGTACCATCACCCCGCTTATTTCTGCCGTGAAGCAGTAATGCGTTTCGGTTTGTAGGGTGGGGCAGCCGTTGTAACTATACTGGGGCCTTAAACTTTATATCTCAAGATGGGTGGCGCATTTACGTTGTATATGTCTATGGGCATCAGTAACCACTTAACATCAGGAGGGCTGTGAGCTCGTCCACCCTATCTAAGGAATAAAAAAAATTATCATAAGGAGGTAGGTTTTATATTTACCTGTTACACTCAGGGCTACCCCAATAAGTTAAATGGTCTCTTCCATCAAACTTTTCGATGATATTCATCCGATCTATATTCTTTTCGCCAGTATTGATTGTGTAGCGGTCAGACAGTGTTCTGTTTTTCTGTAAATAGTAAATAATTTTTGGAACGAAGTTCCTTAAGGGACGATGCGGAGGGGTACCCTAACCGGGAAAAAACGTCCGTAAAGTAAGATTTTTATTAGTAATGCACGCAGTGTACGACTTAATTTTGTAATAACAAGGATCCATAATTTTTTTTCAAAAAAGATTATAGCCTATGTCACTCGGGAATAATCTAGCTTCTAAACAGTGAAAGAATTTTTCAAATCGGTTCAGTAGTTTCGGAGCCTATACAATACGAACAAACAAACAAATCTTTCCTCTTTATAATATTAGTATAGATTATAATATTAGTATAGAAGTATAGATAAGCATGTTGAAGAGATCCTATATGAGAGGTTCGTCGTCGCGGCAGAAGTGGGCGGAGCGGTGGTACCACAAGGCATCGTACGAGCAGCGTCTAATATAAATTATTGTTTTTAAACTCACACCGGCCAGTAGTCCGAACTCCTTGAATTTCCACTGGTTGATGAAGGAGAGGAATGGAATCGCTATGTTTATGATGCTGTCGTCATATCCCCACAGAAACCTGGACAAAATAATAAAAAGCTTTTTGTTTTTGTTTTTACAATCTAGAACACAGATTCCCAAACTGTTTCTTAAAAGTATTACTGGTGGTAGGACGTCCTGTGAGTCCGCACGGGTAGGTACCACCGCCCCGCTTATTTCTGCCGTGAAGCAGTAATGCGTTTCGGTTTGAAGGGTGTGGCAGCCGTCGTAATTATACTGAGACCTTAGAACTTATATCTCAAGGTGGGTGGCGACTATTACGTTGTGGATGTCTATGGGCTCCGGTAACCACTTAACACCAGGTGGGCTGTGAGATCGTCCATTCTGGTAACAAAAAAAAAAGTTAGCCCTTTTCTTAACCGAACTGAAAACTCGGAGCCCTACATGCAAATTAGTTCAGAAATCCAATCTCTAGTTTTCTCTCTATCTCTTATTAACACAAAATATTAACGAATCCAAAAGCTTTGCAGTTGGTTAAGCTAGTATGAACTTGACATCATTTTCTAATCAAAATTTAACAAAACAAATATACATTAAAGTTCAATGTGCATAAAATGTAATTAATAATTATTACTATAAATTATGTAAACATAATTAGTATTAGTTAGTATATATTAGGAGGTAATTATTAAAAAAAAAACAACGTATCTTGAGAGAATTAAATACGTTATTTAGTAGGGGTCTATTTTGAGACCATGTCAATCTTCAAAATTAGTTTTCTTTTATTTCGAACGCACCACTTTTAGGTTACTTGCCAATTAACAGAGACGTAAGAAATTTTCACAATGTCATTGACAATGACAAATTAAACATTTTTGTGTCACCGCAGTGACTTATACGATAAACCCGCCATTGCCTTATAACGTGAACAAACATTTTAATTGGATTAAAAACAAAATATCGCAGCTGTAAAAGGTAAACTCTAAGACAATACCATTTAATCAATTAAATTAATTGAATTATTCTGCGCCGCATTATGTTTGTATAGATAGGAACGTCGCAAGAACGACTTCAAAGGGAGATGACGCAATAATTAATAAGAAAAATTCGAAAGAACTAGAGGTCCCGCACTAGTCGAAATTCGACTATAATTAATTGGAATTGTAAGTTTGTACACTATTATGATTGTGTTTTATACTTCTATAATCACAAATTTCGCCAAGACTACATACACTATAAAAAAATATTAATAAAGACAAACAATATTTGATCTATTCTCAATGTGACCGAGGATGTCAAGAACAAAAGTTTGACAATAAACAGTATGCATGCGTGTGTGCGTCAAATACATGGTATGTAGTGTGCGTAATGTTTTCTTTATTGATTTAATGTATCTTTTATGTATTATTTAAAAAAAATATTAGCATTGTGCACTTCTTCTCTGTATTCTCTATAAGTGTGGAAAATTTCATACTCCTCCGTCCGCGCAATTTTCGTAAAAAGGGATACAAAGTTTTTGCTTCACGTATTAATATATATATTTTATTATGTCGTCGTTGTCAAACCAAAATCTTCTATGTGCACGTTTTGAGATTTTTACTTTTTGACCTTTTCGTATAGTTCACAGCCTTATTTACCCTATAAAATAAAAACTGTTATGTACCTATAGCTTTAATATTTATCTATAGCTTTCATTCGATATAGTTCTTAAAAATTCACGTTCATATAAAATTTTATAGTTTTACTGGTTAATTCAAAATAGAGTTTTTGCAGATTTTGGTTTGACAGTGACGTGTGCTGCTCTTGCTAGGGCTAGTATTTGCAAATTCTCTTAGGTCGAGCCCGTGAGCTCACCTACCCGTCCGCATGTAGCTGAAATAGCCCTCGGCTACCAGTGAATAGGTAGGGAAAATACCCAATGAATTTCAGGCCGAATCTTCTCAGTGGGTCGCGATTCCGATACGGCGATAGATTTTTTTATTTATTGCTTAGATAGTTGGACGAGCTCACAGGACCCACCTTGAGATATAAGTTCTAAGGTCTCAAGTATAGTTACAACGGCTGCGCCACCCTTGAAATCGAAACGCATTACTGCTGCACGGCAGAAATAGGCAGGGCAGTGGTACCTACCTGTGCGGACTCACAACATGTCTTACCGGCAGTAATTACGCAAATTATAATTTTGCGGGTTTGATTTTTACTACCCGATGTTATTCCTTCACCGTGGAAGTCAATCGTGAACATTTGGTGAGTACGTATTTCATTAGAAAAATTGGTACCCGCCTGCGGGATTCGAACACCGGTGCATCGCTACATACGAATGCGCCGGACGTCTTAACCTTTAGGCCACGACGACTTCGATTGTATTGTTTTTTTTTTATTGCCTTTTTGGCAGACGAGCATACGGCCCACCTGATGGTAAGTGGTTACCGTCGCTCATGGACGTCAGCAATGCCAGGGGCAGAGCCAGGCCGCAGCCTACCGCTGTTGTGTGTGTTTTGATTTATTACGGTCACAAATGCACGTAATTATATAACTGTTCAAGTAAAGTTGTTGACTTACCTGTGCACGGGTAGCTTGGCGAATGGGTCGGGGTGATTCGCCCAGTCGAAGGCGGAATTCAATGACATTTGGGCGAATGGGCTTAGATTCATGCCCACCGACATTGAGACCACGCCCTAAAATGAAAAAAAGTTCACAAAATTGTTACATAACAACAAGAGGCAAGGGGAAAATTGCTAATAATGTTGAAACTTAATTAATATACACGTTTATCATGCAAATGTCGTTAGTGAGATTCAGCTTTGAGATTATTTCTACGCCAATAACTGTAGTTAGCTGTAGCTGGGTTTTTTTTATTGCTTAGATGGGTGGACGAGCTCACAGTCCAACTAGCGTTTCACTATTCGATATAACGATATTTCTAAAAACGAAGTTTTACCGTAAAATTAGCTTTAATTATGTTAACGTTTCGCCAAAACCAAAAGATAACGCAATAACGACTTCTCGTTATTGCGTTATCTTTTGGTTTTGGCTTAAATATGTTTCTTCGAATATATTTAAGCAAAAATTATTGTGTTATTTTGTTACTGTTAAAATTTTATTTATATACTAGCGACCCGCCCTCGCTTCGCTTCGGAAACATTAAAACACACATGAAACCAAAAAAATAAAATATATTTTTTTTTTTTAAAAAGTAGCCTATGTTCATCATGGACAATGTCGGCTTCTAATGGAAAAAGAATTTTTCAAATCGGTCCAGTAGTTTCGGAGCCTATTCGAAACAAACAAACAAACAAATCTTTCCTCTTTATAATATTAGTATAGATCGATTAAGTCAGCGTTGTCCCTTGACCATAAATTACGATTGCACGCAGTTTTTTTTTTCTAATTGGGATCCCGTGATCATTGAGATCCATAACTGCCTTTGTCTTTCTCTCATTTCTATCGATACGACCATTGGCTTCTTGCTAGGCCAGCTAAGGTGGTAGACATCACGACGTTCACCATTTTACCATGGAGTTTTATCGTGTGCCGCGCTGGTGGTCGATTGGGGAGGCCTAGGTTCAGTAGTGGACAGCAATAGGCTGAGATCATGATCACGATCATTCGAACAGCATACATCATAGAAGTCGTCGCGTCCTAAAGGATAAGACGTCCGGTGCATTCGTATCTAGCGATGCACCGGTATTAGAATCCCGCAGGCGGGTACCAATTTTTCTAATGGAATGCGTACTTAACAAAAGTTCACGATTGACTTCCACGGTGAAGGAATAACATTAACGTGTAATAAAAATCAAACCCGCAAAATTATAATTTGCGTAATTACTGGTGGTGGGACGTGTTGCGGGTTCGAATGGGTAGGTACCACCACCCTGCATATTTCTGCCGTGAAGCAGTAATGTGTTTCGGTTTGAGGGGCGGGGCACCCGTTGTAACTAAACTGAGACCTTAGAAATTATATCTCAAGGTGGGTGTCGGCATTTACGTTATAGATGTCTGTGGGCTCCGGTAACCACTTAACACCAGGTGGGCTGTGAGCTCGTCCACCTATCCAAGCAATAAAAACAATACTTCGCAGCGGAAGTACGCGACAGAGTCCACACGTGCGAGCTCAGAATGCCACCAGTAAAAGTGAGTGAAACAGCATGTGCTAGTTTCACTATCTGTTACGAATGCATGTTCAAAACATTGATAAGATAACGCCATTATAAATTTCGCCTATAGTTTAGTTGTTTTCTTCATCGCAATACATACACAAACTGGCGGTCGTTGTATATCTAAATTGTCGTGCAAATGTCAGAGGACGCTGTCGAATGGAGTTTTATAACGTGTGACGTCATTTGAGGCCAAACGACGAACCGGCTTTTGAATATTGATTAGATTTTTCGATACCGCCAAATCCGATCAGGGCAAATACTAGCGAAGCACTGCTTTTGCTGGGATTAGTATGAGTACTAGTAATTAGTACTAGGAATTAGTACTAGGAATTCGTGCTAGGTATTAGTACTAGTGATTAGTACTAGTAATTAGTACTAAGTTCTCTAGGGCTCAGCCAGTGAGCTCACCTTACGGTCCGCGCGTAATTGGAGTATCCTTTTAGGTTACCAGCGATAATTAAAGACAAAAAATTCTGTACTCACCAGTAGCGGGAGGTTCGGTACGAAAACTTGGTCGTAATACGCGCCGTTCGTCTTCTCAGGAATGTAACGGAAATTGTTTAGCTCCTGGAAGCTCAGCTGGTCGCCATCGAATTCAACGTTAACCCTATCTAACTCTTGGCTGCAAAGAAATAATATAATAAGATTTTAATATAATTAGCTTTTTTTTGGCTTAAACCTACCACTATTCACTCTGCACTACCTTTGGTTGACTGGTAGAGAATGCCTTAGGCATTAAGTCCGCCAATGTAAATTTTACATGAAGTGTAATAAATAAATAATAAATGGGTGGACGAGCTCCCAGCCCACCTGGTGTTAAGTGGTTCTAGGGCCCATAGACATCTACAACGTAAATGCGCCATCCACCTTGAGATTTTACTGATGGTAGGACCTTTTGTGAGTCCGCGCGGATAGGTACCACCACCCTGCCTATTTCTGACGTGAAGCAGTAATGCTTTTCGGTTTGAAGGGTAGGGCAGCTGTTGTAACTATACTTGAGCCCTTAGAACTTATATCTCCAGGTGGGTGGCACATTTACGTTGTAGATGTCTATGGGCTCCAGTAACCACTTAACACCAGGTAGGCTGTGAGCTCGTCCACCCACCTAAGCCATAAAAAAAAGATACAAGTTCTAAGATCTCAGTATAGTTACAACGGCTGCCCCATCATTCAAACCGAAACGCATTATTGCTTCACGGCAGAAATAGGCAGGGCGGTGGTATCTACCCGTGCGGATGGTAGGTCTCTCTTAGCACTGGGTGGAAACGGGTTGAGGAAGAGAACATCTCACGATCCGACCCTTAACGTTAGGTGTTCCATCGCGCAACCCTTTTAAGTGGCAGTCATTAAGTATCGCTTTGATTCGCCAATCACAGAATACCTTGCGGGAAAAACCGACGTATTTATTCAATAAATTTCCTATGTCATTAGCACCTAATAAATATATGCTTATCTTATAACGCTACGAAGTTATAACTGCTGTTTGTGCTTATATTGGCGTTAGTGCTTTATCGCGTTGGTACTTCAACTTTTGACATAGGTAATACGGTTCATGAATGGTTTGTGCTCATTTTTTCTTATTACCACCTGAAGGTCCACCTAATGCATTGATTAACGGGGTCCATAGATATGACAACATGAATCGCAACCTCCCTCCGAGACCGACGTCGTTGGTCGTCGACTATCGCCTCGACACCCGTCGGTCGGTCGTCCTCGGGGTGGCGCCGCGTGTCTGGTTGTAGTGTTGCCCGCGGGAACCCCCCTACTCTGACCGGGTTTTGACCCCGGACGGAGATCGGACGTCGGGTGTAAGAGTGCAGGGGAGTCGTTTACTGGGTGGGCCCTAAAATTCCTTGGGCTCGCGGTCTGCTCTCAACACATGCAGATCGTTGAGTGCCACATACCCTGCGCGCCCCCTAGGCGCGGGGACCTTGTAGGAGGTTCGGCCCCCGGCCCGAAAAAAAAGAAAAAAAAGCGCCCCTAGCGGCAAGCGTAGGCGAACGTTCCAACTGCATACAAATTTTAGTTAACTTTTACGCTATAGAGAACGTTAAAAAAAACTCGCACTAAGTACACTGGTCCATGGTACAACGGCTGGCCTATATTTGAAACCAATATTAATTGTTGATAGTGGTCTAGTTTACTCGTCCCGCTGATCCTAAGCCATTCAACCCCGGATCCCAAAGATCGACACCTTAGTTCTAAACACTACGCGAGTTATAACTCCGACGATTCCATTGCGCGTCATTCGATAACGTGTTGTTTACATTGCGCTCATAGTTTGAATGATTACGTGGTTGCTTACCAGAAGATTACGTCACAGTTGTCTGACAGTTTGTCTTGTTTTGACGATTGCAATCGGATTCCTCGTAGATATGATAGATATATCTCCTCTATCTTTAAAGCGAACCACGTCATATTTGTAAACTAGACAGTGACGTGGAAGGGCCAGTAAATTGATTACTGGTGGCCCGGAGGTCTTTCCGGTTTCACCAGGACAGATAGGCGAGCAAAGGCTCAGCTAGGAGTGGTGGGATTTGCTAACAGATACCCGAGGGCCTCCAAAGACCTAACAACTCAAAAACAGCTGCTTCGCGAATGAATCTACTACCGGAACGGAATCGCAATCCGCCGAGAAGATCCGGCGAGAAACTCAGCGAGGGTAGTAAAGCAAGACGTGGTCATATCAATGAGGGATTAGATTGTGGTTTGAAACAATGGTGAGACGGCATAGGGAACATGCCATTGGATTTCAAGTGTGCGCCTATCGTTGTCATGGCGTGCAACCCCTTTGATAGGACATAAGACTTACAACGACTAGACACAGACTAAGATAGAGACTTGACAAGAACTTGTTTTTTTTTATTATTTATTCTTGATTAGATGTGTGGACGAGGTGTGGACGAGGCCCATCTGGTTCTAAGTGGTTACTGGAGCCCATAGACATCTACAACGTAAATGCGCCACCCACCTTGAGATATACGTTCTCAAGTCTCAAGTATAGTTACAACGGCTGCCCTACCCTTCAAACCGAAACGCATTACTGCTTCATGGCAAAAATAGGCAGAGAGGTGCGGACTCACAAGTGGTCCTACCACCAGTAATTACGCAAATTATAATTTTGCAGGTTTGATTTTTATTATACGATGTTATTCCTTCACCGTGCAAGTCAATGGTGAACATTTGTTGAGTACGTATTTCATTAGAAAAATTGGTACCTGCCTGCGGGATTCGAACACCGGTGCATCGCTACATACGAATACACCGGACGTCTTATCCTTTAGGTCAAGACGACTTGAAGTTCAATTAAATATATCGAACTGTTGATGCTGATACCAAATAAAACGCCCTTTTAATTAAAAAGATAAATGCCGCGTGTTAAGCGAAATATCTCTTAAACCAAATAACCTTTCGCCCCTCGAAATGATTTCAGAAAATTAAATGAAAGTCAAATGATAATATTAATTGAATTGATAGAATTATCATTGACTAGCGACCCACTCTCGCTTCGCTTCGGGGACGATCAGTTATTATTGACTAGCTGACCCGGCAGACTTAATAGTGCCTCAATCGATAAATAAAAGACCTAAGCTTTTGTATAAAACGAATTTAAAACATCTAAGGAAAAACAAAATTGTTATTTTTATTTAATACCGAGGATTTTCATATTAATCTACCTTTTAAACCCTTTCTGGACTTCCATAAATCATTCAAAACCAAAATTAGCCAAATCGGTCCAGACGTTCTCGAGTTTTAGCGAGACTAACGAACAGCAATTCATTTTTATATATACTTATATAGAAGAAGAAGATACAAGATTGAAGATTTTATTGAATTTTCTTTTATACAAATCTGAACTTGAGAAAATGATGTAATATAAGATATTGTATAGCGAATTGTTTGTAGTACCATTGTCCCCTATCCCCTATCCTTTATTGCCTAGTGCAGTGATTCTCAACCACTGTTCCGCGGCACTTTTGTGTGCCGCCAAATTTTGCGAATATATAATAATGTTAAATTATATCATTTTAAAAGAAAAATATTTTAAACATGAATATGTCGTGGATAACGACTTTTAGTAATATTAAGACGGTGGTTTTGATTATTATTTTAAATGATGAAATGTTGTTTTGATAAATATCACAAAATGAAGGGTAGACTCCGTAACGCCACAGTATAAAATGGCGGTACGTGGACAGAGTCGTGGCATTCGTGTCAGACAGTGATTCCGCCCGTCTCAGCAGTGGTGAGTCTCTGACAGTCAGTCAGTCAGTCAGTCGGTCTGTCGGTATGTGCAACGAAACTGTCGGTTTATCCTGTCATTGTGAAAGTTGTGTGTGTTGAGTTTCAATAATTATTATTGAAAAGTTTTATTGACTAAACTGAGTTCAATCGAATACGAGTGATGACGAAACTACCGCTCAGCCATCCCTGGCGTGCACCGACAAATATATATTTAAATCCACAAAAAAAAAATTATACTATATTTTAGTTTATTTCGTATATTAAATTTTTTTGATAAACTATTTATGCAGTGTGTTGTAATAAGTAAATAATTATTTTTATCTTTTTTTTTGTGTGCCGCCAAATTTTGAAATCGTTAAATATGTGCCGCAACAAAAAAAGGTTGAGAATCACTGGCCTAGTGAATGTGTTCAAAAAAGATTATCATCTTTTTGAAGTTAGTGTGTTTAAAAATGATAATAAGCTCTGGCTGCTTCTGACAATTTATAGAGCTACAAATTTTAATGTACTTTACGCCCTTTCAATTAATATAGCATTTCAATTGAAGCCTGCCAACGTTTTTTGAAACAGAAAGGTGTTGGTAAAAGTTCATTGTTTTTCAATATACTTAACTGGCTTGAAAATTGACATAAATTTTTTTTGAATAACTTTTATATCTCCAAATGACGTTATTATTATTATTACACTAGCTGACCCGGCAAACATTGTTTTGCCATATATAAGATTTCTAGGGAATTTCTAGTGTAGAAAAAAAAACTAACTTATTGTAAGTTGTGGTAAATGAGTGAAAGAGTAGTGTAGTGAAAGATGTAGTGCTGTGAACGATGAGGGAATATATAATAAAAATAACAAAACCTCATTCAACCACATAATAACTCAATAGAACAAAAAAAAATGTCCAAATAAAAAAAAATATGTTAGGGGTGGACAACCCTAATCACTTAGGGGTATGAAAAATAGATAGTAGCCGATTCTCAGACTTACTGAATATGCATAAAAAATTTCATGAGAATCGGTCAAGCGGTTTCGGAGGAGTATGGGAACGAACATTGTGACACGAGAATTTTATATATTAGATATTAAAATTTATTTACTTTTCTTTATTTGATTTAAAAATGAGAGAAACTTACATACAGAGTAAGTAACCTGCGATAAATATTGCATATTTTTTATTTTTTTTATTGCTTAGATGGGTGGCCGAGATTACAGCCCATCTGGTGTTAAGTGGTTACTAGAGCCCATAGACAGCTACAACGTAAATACGCGACCCACCTTGAGATATAAGTTCTGAAATATCAGTATAGTTTCGTATAGTTCAGCACATCGACATTTAGAAAGAGACAGTCGGCTAATTTCGGTTCCGTATAGCGCTATCTCTGTCGCACATAACCTACGTGACGTTTGTCAGTTGTCGTTTTAATGCGATAGTGCTAACAGAGGGGCGAGCACGAATGACTATCGACAAAGTATTCGGTATCGATATCGAGAAAAAATGTATAGGGTTTAAACAGCGCCCCTACCGTCCGTAGAAGGAATTAACTTCAGCAGCCATGAATGAATTCACTTACTGTCGTTTCTCAATCAAATCGACACGTTATCGACACTGGAAACTTATACATACTCATGGTCTTTTTTTTATTGCTCAGATGGGTGGACGAGCTCACAGCCCACCTGATGTTAAGTGATTACTGGAACCCATAGACATCTACAACGTAAATGCGCCACCCACCTTGAGATATAAGTTCTAAGGTCTCAGTATAGTTACAACGGCTGCCACAACCTTTAAGCCGAAACGCATTACTGCTTCACGGCAGAAATAGGCAGGGTGGTGGTACCTACCCGTGCGGACTCACAAGAGGTCCTACCACCAGTAATTACGCAAATTATAATTTTGCGGGTTTCATTCTCACTACACGATGTCATTCCTTCACCGTGGAAGTCAATTGTGAACATTTATTAAGTACGTATTTCATTAGAAAAATTGGTACCCGCCTGCGGGATTCGAACACCGGTGCATCGCTACATACGAATGCACTGGACGTCTTATCCGTTAGGCCACGACGACTTCATAGATCGAGAGCACGAAAATCGTTTTGACATGCGGTGACGTAAATCTCTGCGGCTGGCTGTCGAGTACTACCGTCTAATGTAACAATCCGTTTTCGTATCGACAACTCGATACATTTACATTACGAATTCGATAAATTTCCGTGTTTGACGTATTGTTGGCGGATTATTCGCGTTTCGTGCGACAGAGATAGCGCTGTACGAAGCCGTAATTAATCTATTTGACTCTTTCCAAAAGTCGATGTGTAGTATTTATTGTTGGGTACTGTATCGCAGAAGCAAGAATTATACAAAAGCCTGAAGCTTGGAGCTTGTACACAGTAATGGATTATTTTGGGTGTATTGGGAGCTTTGAAAATTAAATCGTCTAGCTGTGAACAATTACATTATTTCTTTACAGTTCATAATGGCGGATTTTGGCAAGGCCTTTGTTCAACGGTGGACATCTGTGGGCCGATGATGCCGCTAATAATTCTAAGAATTCAATAAAATACTCGTTAAATCTCTGTGTTTTTTTTTCATCATAACAACACTATCTATCATATTGCGGGCCGTTATCTGAAACGTCGAATTGTGTTTTCGATTTTTCTAACGAAATTATCTAGGACGATAGAAGTAGCCGTTTTCGTGGGAAGTGTTTTTCTAATGGTCGGTACTGTTTGGAAACTGTGGTAGGTAGAGGTAAGGGGGTTTTGTATGGAGGGGGGACAAGGTGAAAGTGTCCAGTTGTGGGCAGAATGTTATTACTAAAAACCCACGAGCTCAGCAGGAGGGTAGCATGTGCTGGGAATATGAATGAAGAAATGACGGTACTCTTCTAATTAGACCCTGCACAGATAAAATGCATATATTGCGATAATTATTGATGTGATAAAGTTGTAGACAGGGACGACTCCTCCGTATCGAAATTTACTGGCGGTAGGACCTCTTGTGAGTCCGTACGGATAGGTACGATCGCCCTGCCTATTACAGCCGTAAAGCAGTAACGCGTTTCGGTTTGAAGAGCGGGGCAGCCGTCGTAACTAATCTGAGACCTTAGAACTTATATCTCAAGTTGGATGGCGGCATTTACTTTGTAGATGTCTATGGGCTTTAGTGACCACTTAACACCAGGTGGGCTGTGAGCTCGTCAATAATAAAAAGCAATAAAAAAATACGCAGGAGCCGGTTACCATCGATGCCCTAGACGCGTCATTACAAATCCACCCGATTCACCAATACCGTAAATAGCAGATCTACCATTAGGAGCAGGTATAGTTCAATATGAAGCCAAGCCAATAGCATCAGCCCTTCTTCGTTAATATTTAAATAATTCTATGTACAAATACGGAATTTAGTTTCTGGAAAAAATTATGTTAATTTAATAAAAAACAGGTGCCCATTCAACTTGGTGCACGTGAAAGAAGTGAAGCTTCTTTTGCGATGTCTAGTATTGTGGTTTTCTTCATTTTTCATACTTAAATCGAATTTCTCTTGTAATAGGGAATGCTGTGTATAAGAGAAGCGACCTAGCTCGCTTTATCCTTTCCCTCTCTCGACGGTCGAGTGGTTCGCGAGACGCTCTGTCTATTTTCTCACTCTCGCTCGTCGTAANAACTTGGTGCACGTGAAAGAAGTGAAGCTTCTTTTGCGATGTCTAGTATTGTGGTTTTCTTCATTTTTCATACTTAAATCGAATTTCTCTTGTAATAGGGAATGCTGTGTATAAGAGAAGCGACCTAGCTCGCTTTATCCTTTCCCTCTCTCGACGGTCGAGTGGTTCGCGAGACGCTCTGTCTATTTTCTCACTCTCGCTCGTCGTAAATTGTATCTTTTCTCTCGAGCCGTAACGAATCTGTCGTCAGTTAAATTTTACTCTCAACGCGTCTAAAGAAGTTTCACTTAAAAAAACGTAACGGAAATATATATTAATAAGTAATACTTATTTATTTGGCAGCGAAAGCCTTGAGGAAGTATAGAGCCCCTACTTTATTTCGCGGGAAAATCGTGTTTTTGGATCACGTCTATTAACACCACAGTTGATATAATAGGAGCTTTATTGTTGCAGCGGCTTACACAGTTCTAAGTTATACACATTATATTTTTTTCGTCTTATGTATTTTCGGCGGTAAAGAGGTCCGGTGTCACAGACTATCTTCTTTTTTTTCACCTCTTACGCATCATAAAAAGGTGCGTTCTTAGACGCCACACCCTAAAACGAGCTTCCATTTAGTGTTTTCTCGTCACGACAATTGGCTAATGTTAGTAAAGACGGCGATAGCCTGGAAAAACTTATGATCACAGGGAAAGTTGAAGGCAACAAATCTAGAGGCCGCAGCCATACTCGTTGGTCCGATCAGATCCGCACCGCTTTGGACAGTACAGTGTACAGCGCGCTGCATGACGCCGTGGAAAGTGGAAAAAGATCCTAAGATTGAAGCTCATGGGTGATGGTGGTCACGACCCTCAGACATGAGGAACACGACTCGAGGAGGAGGAGGAGCAAAGTCTTCAAGGGTGAACTCCGTGAGCTCCCATTTAGCTAAAGCTAGCCTAACCCCTCGATGTTACTAGCTTGTACTTGATGTTAGGCAAGAAACGAAAATTGCTTATCATTATTATTCGGTACGAATATTGCCTATTTTATTGAATCCATAAAACACGAAACGATAAGCACAGCGGGAGGTTAATCTATAATATAGATAGCGTTGAAGAAAAAAACAGTATTTTGTTTGTCACGAGAAATACGCGGGCCGTATTTAATAAAGCATGCCATTGTGACTGAACTTCGGCAGGTAACTGGTCATCCCATGTGATATTCTTAGCCCATAGTGTTTGTAATATGAACTTTGCTTGTAACATGTAAGGATTAATTAAACCAAGTCGATCAAGTGGATTTGGTAGGCAGCGGTTTGGCTCTGCCCCTGGCATTGCTGAAGTCCATGGGCGACGGTAACCACTCACCATCAGGTGGGCCGTATGCTCGCCTGCCTACAAGGACAATAAAAAAAAACACTGGAGTGAATACAATTTAACGTTTATTTGTGTTAGGCTGATATGATATTTTATTTATTGCAAATAATGACGTGTCTTTTTTACAGGCCCAGAGTAAACCAAAGTAAATTAAAAGTTTTTGCATGAAATACGCGGGCCGGACCTAAGGATCTCTACTTGTTTTATTGCCCTTGTAGGCAGACGAGTATACAGCTCTGATGGTGAGTGGTCACCGTCGCCCATGGACGTCAGCAATGCCAGGGGCAGAGTCAAACCGCTCCCTAACGCTTAATACTCTTCACAAGCCTTGTTTGAAGAAGGACATGTCATAGCGCTCGGGAAACACCGTGGAGGGGAGCCCATTCCATAGCCATATGGTACGTGGCAAAAAAGACCTCTGGAAACGCGCTGTGGATGAACGCAGCGGTTCCAGATTATATGGACGAACTCTGCTCCGATGGTGGGAGGTGCGATGATAAAAAGGAGATGATTAATTACGTTAAAACCTGAAACCATGTTAAGCTGTTGCTTCGTTTCGATGTTTAATGAAGGACAAACAAACACACTGTCACGTTTATAAATAAATCATGTAAATAAATAATAACAAATAACTAATCTCATATGAGAATATGTGTATGCACAGAAAACATTAACTTACGAATAAACATATGGTCCTACTTCTTCGACGTGTAGCTTCTTTTCATCGCCATCCCTCACTCGCTCCCAGTTCGTGTAGTTGAAGAGGTATACCTTCATCAGTGGCTCGACGGTCGGATGCTCCCACAACGAAAAAGCCATTGAGTTGTTCCGGATTATCATGTTCTGGACAAACCATTAGTACAGGAGNGCACAGAAAACATTAACTTACGAATAAACATATGGTCCTACTTCTTCGACGTGTAGCTTCTTTTCATCGCCATCCCTCACTCGCTCCCAGTTCGTGTAGTTGAAGAGGTATACCTTCATCAGTGGCTCGACGGTCGGATGCTCCCACAACGAAAAAGCCATTGAGTTGTTCCGGATTATCATGTTCTGGACAAACCATTAGTACAGGAGTTACACGAAATTCAAAATAACACACATTCTATATATATCAGCCCACAGAGGTCCACTCGCTACGACCACCCTGCGCTGCCTGTGATCTTTTCAGCGGGTCGCGTTTCCGATCGGTAGTAGATTCTGCGAAACACGGCTCTTGCTAGGGTTCGTGTTGGCAACGTCGTCAGGTTTTAGCTCCGTGGGTTCACCTACTAGTTAAGGTTACGCTGAAATAGCCTCTCAAGGCTATCAGCTTAGGTAGGAAAAAAAAAGCAGCCTGTACAATTCCCGAGACCTTCAACAGATCGTCAGTCCAAATATTAGAAAGCTTACGTTACGTCTTACGGTACGAGGTTGCCACTCGAGAGCTTTTCGTCCCCACCGGTTATTTGCTCTATGAGCGATGTGCTTTGCCTCTAGAATCTTGCAATTCTTTAGGCCATATCATGTTATCATGCGAATCCTGTCAATACTGAATCTGTTTCGCAGCGAAACTCTACATTGCTCTTTCAGTGACTAAGCCTTCAAATAGAGCCTCGTCTCAGCTGCCAGGTCTCGCTGTGGTCCTACTATGGGTTATTTCCAGTTTCGCCAGGTCTTTCCAGTTTCTCCAGGACAGGTGGGCGAGCAAAGGCTCAGCTAGGAGAGAGGAATTTGCCAACAGCTGCCCGAGCGCTAAAGGAGACCTAAAAACTCAAGAGCAGCTGCTTCGCGAATACATCCATTATCGGATCGGAATCGCGACCCGCTGATAATATCCGGCGAGAAACTTAGCGAGCTGATGTATGGGTTAGGTTGCACATCGAGCTCTTTGTCGAGTTCGACGAGTACGGTTACCGGGGTCCCTAAGCCTGCTCCTAGTGTTAGAGCTGAAGGCGTCTAATGCAAGAGTTATTGGATCTGATGGATTCGTAAGGATGTGTTAGCATTTGCTTTTGGTATACTCACAGATAAGATAGCATCGTTGATTGTATTTGTGAAGCACGAGAATATCGTCCCGATCAAACTCAGAACGAAGGTTGTCGACAGAACGACTAGCACTGCAACAAAATGAGGAGCCATTAAATTTCACTCGACTTTGAATCTATAGTAATATAAAAATCTACAGTGGTTTTTACGGATGTTCCGTTATAACTACTGAACCGTGCATCCGATTGACTTGAAACTTGGTATCCATGTAGAAAATACATGTACTTAATGGATAGGCTAATATTTATATGAGTGTTGGACTCCCTACACCAGTTGCGGGGGCATTAATGATGAGAATCTTTGTGGGGGTGAGAAATAATAATATTAATTTTAAATGCCCAGCGAAGCGGACGGGTACTGCTAGTTATATCTATTACTAGCAGACCCGGCCACACGTTGCTGTTACTAAAGTTTTTGTTTCAAAATAACACGTGGCTAGCTATGCTAATACCAAAAATTAACAAAGTAAGAGTAAATGGATTTCACTGTATTGCGTTTATTACGAAATAAATTTCACTTATAGGACTTTAGCCTCAGCAATACGGCAAAACATTAGCCCTGGCAAGAGTAGCGCTTCCCAGAGTGTATCACTGGATTGGAAACGCGACCCACTGAGAAGATCCGACGAGAAACTCAGTGGGCTGAGTGGAACTCGCAACCTACACAGCACGCCACTGCAAATGGCCAGTACATAGAATATCGCGTTCTCGTAGCCTTGGAGGAAATCGCCGAACTTCCGCCCTCCCCTAGGGAAGAAGGGCGGGGCATGTCGGAGTCGAACTGACTAAAACCTCCTGTCGCTCAACAACCCGCGTCCGAACCTCGCATGAGACAGAACTCATGAAAAGGCAAAGGGGGGAAAGTGTCTCGCAGCCTACCCAAAAATCGCTTCCAAATTCCCATATCCATACATTTACAAAACTTCGCCGGCTCACAAAATAAAAATTATCTCGCAATTATCTCTCGGCCCGACCTTTAGGTTCATGTAAACGAAATCGTATGATCGTGTTTACGATATAAACATACATTATTATTAAGAAAAATAATTTAAAAAAATGTAAGAAAAAAACTTGAGCAAAATGTAATTAAAATCATCGATGTAGTTAAAGTCGATTGAATATGAACTGTAATAGATAACTCGAAAACGAATGTAAAAAAAATAGTTTAAAAAAACGAACTAAATACGCTTTTAAAGAAAATCGACTAAAATAAATTTGAATTAAAAAATAGTGTAAGAAAAAAATATGTTATTGTAAAAAAGCGTGAGCTGCTTTTCATCTGCACCTGTTCATAAAATATTTATAACTACTGATACCATGCACCCCACGCTTTTTTTACAATAAAGTCATTTTTTCTTACACTATTTTTAATTCAAATTTATTAAAATTTATTTTCAATTTTTTAGTTGGATTTTCTACAAAAGCGTATTTTGTTAGTTTTTTATAAGCGATTATTTATTTTTAATTTTTTAGTTGAATTTCAATTTTTTTATTTATTTTTTATAATTTTTTTAATATTGAATTGTCATCGGTCCTTAATAAGAATACCAAATTTCGAGTTAATCTGACGTTTTGAACGGGGTCAAAATCATGTTCAAAGATTCTGTTACAAACATACATACGTCTGAAGCTGTAAATCGTATTAAAATCAAGTTAATTGGACATTTTGAAGTTAATTCGTAGATTCTGTTACATACAAAAATACCAAGCTGATATAAACGTGTTAAAAACTACCCAAAGGGAAGACACAGTAAATTCTTTCAGTCTCTTTATCTTCTTTGGGTGGACGAGCTCACAGCCCACCTGGTGTTAAGTGGTTACTGGAGCCCATAGACATCCACAACGTAAATGCGCCACCCACCTTGAGATATAAGTTCTAAGGTCTCAAGTATAGTTACAACGGCTGCCCCACCCTTCAAACCGAAACGCATTACTGCTTCACGGCAGAAATAGGCAGGGTGGTGGTACCCACCCGCGCGGACTCACNAAGTGGTTACTGGAGCCCATAGACATCCACAACGTAAATGCGCCACCCACCTTGAGATATAAGTTCTAAGGTCTCAAGTATAGTTACAACGGCTGCCCCACCCTTCAAACCGAAACGCATTACTGCTTCACGGCAGAAATAGGCAGGGTGGTGGTACCCACCCGCGCGGACTCACAAGAGGTCCTACCACCAGTAAAACCAAAGTTCTTCAACCAATGCGGAGTTAATTGTACTCTGTACTACAGAATCTGTAGGTATACGACAATCAAGGGAAGATCTTCCACCGAGCGGGTGATATTGCTCGGTAGACCGACAGGCCGAATGATGTTGTTCAGAGCTTGTATATATGTGAGCTTATCTTGAAAATGTCGTAAGCGTGATTCAGGTGTCTGTCAAATATCTTGTATGGCTACCCGTCACACACTCCACTATTTCAGTCTCTTACCTTTCGCATCCATTCCCTACCGGCTATTTTGACCAGATTTTTGTACAAGATCAAAACCGTAAAAACATTTTAAATTATGTCCATGACTGTTGTAGAAACTCTTTTTTTTCTAAATTATATTTTAAACAGCGGCGCGCTCTTTATATTTAAAACAAACCTACAAAATATTAACGTCCATTACTTAAGTTTGGATAGAAACTTCATATTACAAAAAGTAAATAATACATTTATTGTAATGTGTTAATACACAAATTAGATAACGTAATAGGCAAACAGGTCAATTGGTAATGGGTCTGATGAACTCACAATAATTATTGTTGTAAATTATAATATTACAATAGTTTTTACATTTAAAAAAAAAAAAAACAATACTGTGAACAGAGCTGTGCTCGCAAAGCTGGTACGACATTTTTTTCCCTACCTAAGCTGGGAGCCTTGAGAGGCTATTTCAGCGTAACCTTAACTAGTAGGTGAGCTCACGGGGCTCAAACCTGACGACGTTGTTAACACGAACCCTAGCAAGAGCCGTGCTTCGCAGAATCTACTAGCGGATCGGAAACGCGACCCACTGAGAAGATCCGGCGAAAAACTCAGTGGACTGTGCCTACGGGTTAGTTTACTAAAAGCACCGTTATTGGATCGGGAGGATCCGGTGTCTGAGGGTTAACTTACTCGTCGAGCTCTTCGTCGCAAGCGACGGGTTCGACGAGAACGATGACCGGTGCTTGAGGTACCTAAAAGCACCGTTAGTGGATCGAGAGGATACGAAATGACGTGTGGTACGACCGATTTTAGCTCTGCGCATTGGTTTACCGCGGAAGTCCCACCATGGAAGATGAAAGTACCACCCGGCTGATAAAGACAAGATATTTTTGCATTGTCCGACTCTCCGTTAGCGTACCTCACTTCTCTCTTCTTCAAGCTGCCTCCAGCCAATGCTAAGTGGAAGTATTTTCAGATTGCACACCAAATTTTTATCAATATCCATTCAGTAGTTTTCGCGCGAAAGAGTAACATACATGCTTCCATACATTCTTACAAACTTTCCCGTTTATAATATTAGTCTACTATCTATATATTATTATAATACGCGAAGGAAAAACTTTGTATCCCTTTTTACGAAAATTGCGCGGACGGAGGAGTATGAAATTTCCCACACTTAAAGAGAATATAGAGAAGGAGTGCAGAATGCTAATATATTTTTTAATTATGCCTAAAAAATACATTAAATCAATAAAATAAAAAAATTACACACACTACCATATATTTGACGCACACACGCATGCATACTATTTATTTATTGTCACACTTTTGTTCTTGACGTCTGTTGTCAAAATGAGAATAGATTAAATATTGTTTGTCTATATTAACATTTTTCTGTGATTATAGAAATATAATAGTCTTTGAAAATAGAATCTTAAGGCTTCGTCAAACAGAACGCGTAATTAGCGCGCGTCAGAGCGCTACGCTATGACGCCGAGATGTGTTGTACTACTATGGTAACATACCGTCAAACAGAGCGCCAGTGCTATAGAGCGCTCATAGCGCTGGCGCTCAGTTTGACGGTAAAATACCGTAGTAGTACAACACATCTCGGCGTCATAGCGCGGCGTTAGTTTAGCGCTGACGTGCGCTAAGTACGCGTTCTGTTTGACGAAGGCTTTAGTAGTGTACAAGCTTATAATTTCAATTAATTATACTCGAATTTCGACTACCGCGGGACCACTAGTATAATATTAATTTACTCATATCTATACTAATATTATAAAGAGGAAAGATTTGTTTGTTTGTTTGTTTCGAATAGGCTCCGACACTACTGGACCGATTTGAAAAATTCTTTTTCCATTAGAAGCCGACATTGTCCCTGATGAACATAGGCTACTTTTTTTATTTTATTTTTTATTTTATTTTTTTGTTTCATGTGTGTTTTAATGTTTCCGAAGCGAAGCGAGGGCGGGTCGCTATCTGTCAATAAAATACAACTATTGACACCGCGGACTTCACTCTTTTTTTTTACAATAAAACTATTTACAATTTTTTATTGGTCTCTTCACTGGTGGTAGGACCTCTTGTGAGTCCGCACGGGTAGGTACCACCGCCTTGCCTATTTCTGCCGTGAAGCAGTAATGCGTTTTGGTTTGACGGGTGGAGCAGCCGTTGTAACTATACTGATACTTTAGGACTTATATCTCAAGATGAGTGGCGCATTTACGTTGTAGATGTCTATGGGTTCCGTAACCACTTAACATCAGGTGGGCTGTGCGCTCGTCCACCCATCTAAGCAATAAAAAAAATGGAAACGTGATTTTTTTTTCTTGTTTTTTTAAAACTGTATATATTTCTGTTTATTGAATTGTTTTTACAATATACAACGAAGAAATCGCAGTAAAATTAAAACTAAATTAAACTTTTTTGTACATAGAAATCTCTTAAATATACTATGTTCATTTCTCCTCTAAATCAAATACAAGTTACGATACACGCAAGAGAGAAAGGTCTAGGTTCTTCTCGGCAAGGGCGATACGGACGAGGCGTATGCGACCTCGTACCGCACTCAATGTGTTAATAAAGTCACACCTAATTACACAAACTGCATCTATTGTATTTGAGCAAGTGTTTTTTTATTATTAATACCCACTT